ATTATTATTATTATTATTATTATTATTATTATTATTATTATTATTATTATTATTATCATTGTTGTTGTTGTTGTTGTTATTATTGCTTTAGAGTTAGTTTTCAAGAAATTCCTGGAACGTTTAACTTAGCGGAACTGTAGCTTCCTAGTGCCATGCCTACGTCGGACACATTTAAACGATGCACAGCCAATGTCAAACCCTACAAACTTAGCATTGACATAACTGACCTCAAGTTATCATTTCTTTCATCGTGGGACCGTTTTTGTGCTCTTCTTTCTTCATCATAGGTGCTGTTTGTAGACTCAACGCATAAAAAGTTTTTTTCTTCATTCGTGCGGACTGTTTCTCACAATATGCGTCTCACGCTGCAAATGCTGATCTCCCACGGCCGTATGGCCCGGAGGATGGGCCTGGGCCCGGAGTCCCGAATCAACATGCTGCGAAACATTTTGACTGGACTCGTCCGACACGAGAGGATAGAAACCACATGGGCCCGAGCAGACGAAGTCCGCTTCTACGCCGAAAAGGTGAGAACCAGCTGGGTTTAGCTGTTAGCTAGCGAACAGCTAATGTTACAGCATGAGTCCCACTCAATGTGTCAGTGGAGAAAAAGAGATGTTAAATTAAGATACAGCTATTGGTCAACAGAGATGCTGTACTTTTTAAAATTTTGTTGAGAAGCTGACAACATCTACAGACCAACACAAACCAAAGTAAATAGCCGAATATTAAACGGTCATTATGTCAACCCCAAATCCTCATTATGTGTAGAAATTTTCATATTTGTGTTTAATTGCTCTGATCTGATCCAGATTTCCAGCATGTCCTCCACGTCCAATGCGGATTGGAGTTTAATCTCTGAATATCACTCCCATCCGGTCATCCCGAGGTCCACACCAGCTCCTCTTTTTGTTTTGATTCAGTTTGTTTTCTGGATGGTCTCTTAAGATTTGCGTACAAACTCCAAATCTTTCTTTTCTCCATTTGTTCTAAGTTTAATGAAAAAGCTTATGTACTATTTTGTTCGTACTCCCTTCAGGTTTTAGACACAGCTGACCATCACACTGGGCAAATTCACTCGTCATGTTTCCTTCGAGTCAGCAAAGGGAAACATCTCCCCAAGTTCTGCTCGCATTCTCATTTGTCAGCAGACTTTTTTTTTTTTAAAGGTTCATTATAATCTGGATTTTTCTGCCTGTGTCTTCCCTCCATCTCCTCACCCCTTTCTGGGGGTGACGTACACCCCCACAGACAGATGCCACTATCTCCACGTTGCCAGTGGTTTTTCTCAGAGAATGGTTCTGTTTTCCGTCTTCAGCATTGAGGGTTTTTTAATGAGGGGTGGCCTCAGTGTTGGCTATTTTGTGGGACGTGCCTGATGAATGGAGCTCTGCATCACTGGCTTTCCTTCTCCTCACAGGAACCCCGTAGCTCATTTATAGCCAGTACGTTTCCCGTCTTTGTTTCTGACTAATCAGTGTGAATAGTCAGCAAAATCTATAAGACTCTTGTATCATCTCAGATTTCTTCCAAGATGTTGTTTTTGCTTCTTGTTCTTTTCAGTGGTGTACAAATCCCCTCATATCTGTCCCCAGATCATAAACTTTTCCAACACAACTTTAGTTCAGTGGGTGTTTGTGTTTGTGTCTATGCTGCTCACTGGACTATTGTTAAGCTGTGTAAGTATTTCCACTGATCTGTGAAGGAGCCAGAGCAAAGCTGCATAGCAAAAAGTCTCAGCCATGAAGCACATTTGGAATTGAAATGCTCTTTGACTCAGACTGGTTCTGACTGCAGTTGTTTCCTTGTCTCATCCTCCCAGCTGGTTGACTACGCCAAGAAGGGAGACACTGATGAGAAGGCGATGAAAATGGCCTCTTTTTGGCTGACGGTGCGTGTCCAAGTGAAAATACAAAGTGTGCAACTCTGGAATTAAAACAGTGTACATGGAGCTTAGTGTGTGCCTGTTTCCTCTCTGCAGGAAAAGGACCTGGTTCCGAAACTCTTCAAAGTCCTCGCTCCAAGATTTGAGAGTCAACCAGGCGGCTACACACGCATGGCTCGTATTCCCAACAGGCAGAACCTGGATAAAGCAAAGATGGCCGTCCTGGAGTACAAAGGAAACCCCTTTCCACCTCTTTATCCTGCCAAAAAGGAGAACGAACTGACGCTCATCAACCAGCTGCTCAAAGGCTACAGAGAGGAGAAAGCACAACAGTGGGTTGCAAAAGCGTGATCCAGGCCGTGGTGCTGCTGGATTAAGGATTTCTGAGGAGTGAAGATGTGCTTCTGCTGCTGCAGACTGCGGCTTAAAAAGAGACTGACACATTTCTTCACAAAAAGAACAGTTTAAAAATCCTGCATCAGGTCCTGAAAGATAACAGTGGGATGACTGTGTATTAATAAATATTATTTCAGAAACAGATTCCTGTTACTTCTTCCACATCACTTTTGATTATCGCAGCAGGTTTAAATAAACGGAGGGAGAGAGCAGTTCATTAGGGAGATTTTTGACCATTTGTCAACACGTGAGGTATAGAACAAGCTGTCCCCCCCATGTCCAGTCGCCATTTTCCCCGAGCAATGCATCAGCGTGTGCAGTCGCCTTTTTACTGATCCAAATTAGCAGGAACTCCGAAGAGTGGCATGTGAGGAAGCTTAGTCTGCTTTTATTCTGTAATGCGGTGCGCTCAGCTTCACTCATTACACGTTAATATGGTCTGTTGACCCCAATCACAGTCATGACCTCCATCTCGCATGGCCTGCATAGTCCTCAGCGTAGAAAACATTAACAGGCTGTATGATATGAGTAAACAAAGTGTACGTTTTTTCCATTATGTAGATCAGTGATCTGAAGTTTTTCTTTTTAAATGAGAGCCACAGACATAAGCTAAACAATTCTCCCTCACAAAACCTGTCCCGGTCTATCATCAGGGTATGTTTTTACCCAGCCAACAACATCTGGATCTGGATCTGGATGTTTTTTTTGGCCCACATACCTGTGATGTGAAGCAGGCCTCTTGTTATCTCTGGTAACTCGGGTTTGTGTGTGTGGTACATTTCCAAAAATGGAAAGAAAGTTGCAGATGGAGCAAAACAGGTGGAGCTCAAAAGGTTAGTGATGGTTCCGCTGTGGGGCCTGAGTAGGGCTTAGAGCCAAACCTCTGCTGCTCATTAAACCTGTAAAAACCTGCAGGTCTGCTGCCTCGCTCTACAATGCAGTGTTTCTTTTTCAATACGAGGTGGACACGTAACATAAAACTTTTATGCTAACCTCTCTTTTGATAGATAAAACATCCCCTAAGTATCCGCAGGAATGGAGTCATTTGAATGCAGCGTGATTGCCGTTGGACGACACAGACCGGGATGTTGGCATTGACTGTGGAGTTAATTAGGCACGCCTATATGAGATTGTTTACGGGCCGGAGACCGTGCAGTGTGTGACTGGAATGGAGTTCTGTAATCACAACTGATTCTGACTATTGATTACATATGTACAATTTATTCTCATGGGAGACCAGAGCATGTGCTACACCAGCAGCGATCATGTCTGGGAGGGGTAGTGTGGATCCTGTCCCCGGAACAGTGGACTACATTTTTACCTTAGCTAAGCAGATTTAAAGGGTCAGGGGACTGTGTCTCCTTAGGACTCAGCGGGTGGTGCTGCAGGCATATAGATCAATAGAGTTGGTATTAATCTGACTTTTATGGCTGCTGTTTGTGGGGTTCATAGACTAGATCTTGGGGCATATTAAAGGAGAGGAGGGCCTCTGGTTTGGGAGCCTCAGGGTTGTTTCCCTGCTCTTGGCAGATGGTGGGATTCCTTTGCTAAGTCTCAACCAGGACATGTAGAATATCTCTGTCCGGGTCGGCGTTTGTCTTTTGACTGAAGAGAAGCCATTGAAATATCTCAGGGTCCTGTGAAGTAGTGATGGGAGAAAGACCTTAAAGATTGACAGATAGATGGAGCTAAAGACGAGGTTTGAGTTGGATTCGGTGGCCTTTGGTGGGGATCTGGCTTCAGCCTTCAAGATGAGGCGATTAGTTTGTGCATCCAGCAAGAGTCTCTAATCGGCCGTGAAGAAAGGCATTAGCAGAGGTGGTTCCAGTGTTTGATCAGGAGGCATCTGGGATTAAATATCACATCTGGCCCCTGAATCCCTTGTGATCCCCCAGAAAGAGCGTGAGAATGTCACCAGGGAGAGGGATGCTGTTTCCTCTGTGGCTCAGCCTCAGAAAATGGGTGTAGGGACAGACAGATTTACTCTTTGGCTCTTGTGCCTCTGACTGAACCACATCTCCGTAATGAGTCAAATACCAGAGCGATAGGCGAGGTTTTAATAAAACAGTTTTTTTTTTATTTTGGCAAAAAGTGAATATATACAGCGTATTTAGAATTCTTATTTGACACCATTAAAATGCATTTGAACGGTGCTTCAGTGATGTGCTCTGAGTAACCTAAAAGCTGTGCTGTTTTCTGTCATGCATACATAATCTCCTGTCTTCAAGTTCTCCCTCCAAGTCTCCGTCATTTTTGTGATGGAACGAAAGAACACACAGGCCGAAGCTGTGGTGCGATGTCTGTAAGCCTGTCGAGTCAAGTCATGGCAACAGCAGACAAAATGGCAGACGCGCCGAATACAAACCAGACACATTAATCAGAAATAACAGTTAGTACTCTAATTCAAGTATCATTCGCTTTCACAGACTACGTTACACCTCTGACTACACTCTTACACGTAACACACCACTGGCCTAACAGCATCTAACATCAGTACTCCATGACAGCAAGATTGCCACTGATAAGACTGTGGACTATTAGCCGAGAGCCACAGCTTGTCTAGATCAAGATAAAACCACTGAATTTGTCAGTGTACTCACTTATTTTTTCTTCAGTTTTTGCGCTAAGCGTGAACTGCTCCCCAAAATGTAAAAAAAAAAAAACTGAAGACATCGTCGGTCTATATTTACAGGTGAACGCATCAGAAGTACGACCCCATGAGGTGTGAATACAAGTTTCAAAGCAGTCTTACAAGGTGACATCATCACGAATAAACAGACTAAGACCAGGAACATTAAAGTGCTCCATGCAGGACAGACAAAATGTACAGTTGTGTTGCCGTTTTCACAGTTCATCTACAAGACTTTTTTTTTCTTTTTGAGTGTTTTCTTTAAAGCTCAATATTAGGAGATACAAAACTACAACCATTTGTACGTCTCTTTGCACTATATAAAGTGGTGCAAAAAGCCATCAAATTAAATATTCACCTTTTAAAAGCCAGATAGGGGTGAGGATGAAGCTACCAGTATGAATTAAGGAGAAGCAAAGAGGTTTCTTCCTGCTGGAAAATCGTAGGTGTGTTGAGGATGGAATGCAAAGAGCAAAAAAAAAAGAAAAAAAGATACACTGCAGTATTAAAGCAACTTGGAAATCACCCCTATCCTTGTGCTGTGTTGCATCAGTACATTCACCAATGTCTACATATGCTGATATGACAGTTTTGAGCAGGCGTTTCCTGCCCTCCAGTGAAAATTAAACTAAAACCGATGCAATATAACAATGCTTTCATACCGTGTTCCAGACGCTGCGCGATGGTTTTCAGTGGAATAACAACAGATTTTTTTCTGCTCATAAAAGTTCTGAAGCCTATTGTATGTATGTCAAGCGAATATTAAGGGGTCACATGGAGTACATATCAGCGTTCTGGTGGGAAATACCATACAAACATGCACATTTTACAAGTACTGTACTTTGAAGTGCCAACAGTAAATGTGACATAAAATTACACATCGGCATATCGATCCAGAAGGCATATAAGAGTATAAATCAACCCAATGGACTCCGATTAGAGTAAATATACAGGATCGACGCTTTATCAAAATGTGATGGCATGAGATATTTCTAAGGTCACAGCACCAACTGGAATGTAATGATGTGGGGGAAAAAACAGGAAATTAAAACCTTATTCAAAATAACAAAACTGTATAGAATGGTAGCTCTCGACCGTTTTAGCTATTTACAAACTCTCCCAGGCACAACTTCAATGCCTCATGAAATTTTGACAGAAGGTATTTCAAGAATTTTGTTCATATCCGCATTGTGCACAGCTATCATTCTATTGCTCTGGCTACATCCATTTTGTCATTTTTTCCCCCATGATCCTTCTACTGGTCAGCATCAAATATTTATTGCTTCTTTATTCTTTTACAAGCTCAGCGCTCGTGTCTCAGCCATTTCCGTTCACTTCCCCATTCTGGTCCCTTCCACTCACAGGTGATAAGCCACCATTCAGGGATTAGCTTTTCATTTTTTTCCCCTTCCTTTCTTTTGTTGTGTTTTGCTGTTTGTATGTTTTTGTTTTTATGTTGTTTTTGTCTGAAGGTTTTCTTTAAACGGTAACATCTTGAATTCCATCAATTGTGTTATTTTCTATGGTTGCACCTGCACCATTTTCCCAATGTCTTCTTTCTTTCTCTGCATTTCATGCCTTTGTTCCAAAGCCTCCTCCACCGCCACTCTGCATGCTGAAATACTCTGTGAAGGAGGGGAGTCGGGGTGGCAGTGGGGGGGAGCGTGAGGCTGGGCGCGGGGGTATTGGAGGTGGAGGCGGCGGCAGCATCGAGGTCAAGTCAGCTGCGGTGGTGATGATCTTTTCCTCGCTGTTCCTCGGAACATCTGGACCTTTACGAGCCACGGCCTCCTCCACCGTCTTTACGGGATCCTGGAAGGGGAAAAAAAAAGTTTCACAGTTTTGAGCAAGGAAGAAAACGGCCTTCTAAAAAAAAAAATCTGACTCATCAAACCAGGAGCACGTCCATCTCACAGCCCGCATGGACCAGCCTCTCGTTCTGCCCTCTACACAGACACATTATCAATATTTGGCCAATGTTACAGTGCTGATGTATAGAAATGAGCCTGGTAATGAGTTGGTTTATGATGCAGATTATAGCATGATTTAGAACTAAGAATCTTTTTTCCTTTTTCTGACAAAAATCTGACAAAGTCCTGTTAACTTTGCCCAGAGTTATAGCAGGTTCTGAAGATGTTCATCTCATTAATCCTGAGCAGCTTTTGAGACTCACTAAAACCATCGTGGTGAAGTCCAGCTGGTTTGCTAACTGTTCCCTTCAAAGCAGAAACCACTAAAAGACATTTAATTCTGCCTCGGTAAAGACCAACATTTTACAACATATAGACAGAACTAAAATACTTGAAAAAAGATATTTACATATTTGGAAAAACTCATGAAAAATTAAAAGAATGAAGCAGCACCAACATTATCTGTGATGCCATTTGAAATCTGAGCAGCTCAGAACCTTTCAGCAGTGTAAAATCCAGTTTAGAATATCATTAAAAATATATAAATACCAGTAAATATTTTACGTATCTCCTTCTGGTGGATTCCCTCCAAAGTAAACAATATGACATGAGGTCATTCACCACCTTCTGCAAACACTCAGCAGGTCAAGTTTATACCAGATATTGAGAGAGTGTAAGTACAATACCCAGTGAGATACATTAGCTTTGCATGCAATTACCCATCCATCCACTGATTTTGTATAATGCAGTCCACAGCTGGTCAAGGTTAAGAACAAATTATAAAACTCTAAAGGCTAAATAACTTTAATTCAAACTGAATGAATGGAAGTCTCAAAAACAACAGAAATATAAAGCCGTACAACAGTTTTATGTGTGTGTATTTGTGTGTGTGCAGAGAAGACATTGCCTCGGCATTTGCAACTGTTCTAACTAATGTGCTCTGTTTTATGGCCAAGTTTTAAAGTAGGTCACCCGACAGTGTCCCGACCTGTTGTCAGTAAGTTCACGCTCAAAGTCAACAAGGCTGGTTAAATAGGTTGGGGATAAGTTACGGATTTACTGGGTTACCTGACATCCCAGCTGGTTCAGTTTCTTCACCATCTAAAACTCAACAGAACCAGAACCACCGTGTTGAAAGAGCTATTATTCGATCAAAAGATTAAGCTTTAACATAAAAATGTTTTTCAGTAAAACATGACAAAAATTTAAGAAATTCAGGTTCACAGTATCAGTAGTTATAGAATTAAATAAACCTTTTTTTTATTGAATTGCAAACTGAACTACATGGTCAACAAAACACGTGATCTTTTCTCCTTTAAATTTCAGGTTCTGACACTCAATGTGCAAATGGAGGCCACAGAAGCAGATATGATTCTAACCAAGGCTGTTGCTGAATAATAAAATAATTTAAAATGAAATTAAAAAAACATACTGGGTATTAGCTACTTGGCATTTATTGAAGTAGATTAATTAACTCTGAGCACAAATTTAGGTCCAATTATCAGCACAAAAAAGAGCTCCATAGACTGGTTTAAAAAAAGACTATATCAAGCTGCTGTCTATAGCATTTAGCATTTTTGTTAACAAAGGGGTTATTCCATATCATCTAGAGTAGAGAGGTGATATGCCAAGCAGACATCTCACAGCTGCAGGAAGCATAACTCTGTTATGAGCAGTTTCATTTCTGATGAGGATAACTTACGTGAACAAATGCAGAAAGTTTCTTGTTATAGTTATTGGAATGCCTTTCTAAATGTTAGACTGAACAAAACATAACAGCTTTGGAAAAAAGTGAAAAAAAATCTTTCATTCCCAGCTACTCTCAAATGTAATTTGCTGATAATTTCATCTCATCAATTTGCTTTTGTTGCATTTCACCCGTTTGTTATTCAGTCCCATTGTTCATTTCAAGGACACGTAAACACTAATTTTAAAGCTGCTGCTTTCCTATTTGTTTAGCTGTCAACAGTTATAGTTTTTCGTACGATTTGTAAAAAAAAAAATTCTTCGCCCCCTCCGGTGAAATCAGTATAATTGTATTTGTGGATTAAGAGCTCTTTCTCCTTCTCTCATTTGTATTCTGTACGAATAGCCATGCTGACAGATTTGAAAGTTACCCAAGCATCACAGCAAACACAACACCTTAATTATGTCCTGTCAGAGTTTCTTTTTATGCTTAATTTCTTCACACTCAATGTGTTTTAATATCAGGGCTTGTGTTATGTTGTGCAGTGCTTACTGTCAGCTACCTGCCCTCCCTGAGGAGGGGAGAGAAGTGTCTGCTGAGAAACAGGCCCAGAAAACATGCTCCCCGACAAACTACAATGCTACTCTGATGCTTTTTCATTTGAGGCATCTCTGTTAAATGAGATAGCAGTTCATTTCAAGCAAGGTTTGACACGGGAGAGATTGTACATTCTGAAAGCTTTGGAAAATTAAAACACTTGAGCACAAATGTAATTACACACAGCAAGTGCTGCAAAATGATGGGAAGTTTAAAGTGGATGTAGAGATGCACACAGTGCACATACCTTGGTGAATTTCTCCTTCTCACGGTGGTATTTACACACAATCTGACTCTTCTATCACTTGCTCAGAAATGCAATGAATTTGCTGGAACTTTGTATGAGTTATTTCCAAGAATTAGCACAAAAACTTTTTTTTTAGCTCTTACCGATTGGATGGAGAAGAGTTCAGTGAAGTTTGGTTGTGAGTCTCCTAGGAAGGAACTGTTCCCATATGCATGATGGGGAAAACTCTCCCCCCCTTCACCTCCTTTGGGGCTGGACAGAAGAATGCCAATCTGGGATGTCCGAACATGATATGGGAAGTTCTTGTTGGCTGCTGAAGGTCTTGTAATAATCTTAAAGCAGAAGGGTTGAAAAACATGTCAATCCATCTACATTCTATCAGTTCAGTTTGTTGTATAAGTGGCAGCTAACATGGAAAAATGATGGAATCAACACTCTAGGAGAACGCTCTTAAAATAATTTAATAGTTGAACATTCCGGCTTTATAAACTATAACATGAAAATTGCTAAATATATCAAACTAAAGACAATTTAAAAAAAAGTTAAGGGCCAATTGTAAGGAACTAACCTAGGAAATGAGATTTAAACCATCAGTTCTGCCTCCACAGAAAAAGAAAGGTTAAGGTGGGCTAAAGAGAGGCAGGCGAGGACAGTGAATGGTCAGATCACATTGATATTCAGTAATGAATCATCAATCTATACTGGGCAAGGAGATAATGCTGGAACATTTGTTAGTTGCTGATCCAGTGAAACATCTGAAAATGTCTACTTGAAGAAAACAAGCAAATGTCTACAATTATTGATGATTTAGGGTTGATGCCAAGTTAATGCACAGAGGAAATGGCAGTCAATGGATCTTACCTCAGCAAAAAGCGTGCAAACTTTTCTTCAGGAAACCTTATACACACATATCTATACACTTTTGTTTAGTGTATTTTTTATACGAAACAAACAAGCTGAATGGACATCCTTCAATGTGATGATTCCATCATTTTTACCAGGGTTTGCAGTTAGACCATACGAGGTCCCGGTGAGGGGAAGGTCATGAAAAGCATGCTGTGAGCATCAATGCAAAAAAAAGGAATTGTGAATAATGTATGCGACTGGCTTCAATGACTCTTGAATAACATGAACTGTGTGGAGGCGGGTCCGCGTGCGCGTGTGTGTGTGTGTGGTACGAACAAGGAAGACGATGTGAGCGTAGAGGTGGATGCCGAGCTGAATGCCGTTCACAATCTTCTCTCGAGCCCAACGCGGAATTCCAAAGTTGGCAATCAGAGCCATGACGGGCACTGCAAAAAACCTGGGGAGGAGAAGGGAACACATTTAGGAAAGCGAGGAGAGCACATTCGGAGAAACAGAGTGGCAGAGAGCTGGGAGAGTTAGGGATGCAACGCACTGCGTGACAAAGAGAGAGGTGGAGATAATGAGGCAAGGGATAGCCATTGCAGTGAGGGAGCAACGCAGAGACAACATTAGTCTTTGTAATCTACCCTTCACTTAAAGCCTCTGGTATTATGCATCGCAGTTGAAGGATGGAGACAGTTAGTAATGAACACACCGTTATTTTCTTTCTACTTTCCTGGACTATCTAGCACAAATACGGCACAGGAGATTTTCTTCTGGCTATCACTCACCTCAGCACAACGTACATAAGTGAAACTGCTGAAAAAGTAAACTGATTTGCATCCCTGAACAGCTCTAGAATCAGCCATCCGGTGCACTTTTTTTTTTTTTTATTATTATTGTGGGGTATAAATTATTCAACTTGAGGAGACCTCACACAGAGAAACGTGTCAGTTTGAACTCCCATGCTCCACAGCTCAGGTGGTACCACCCGCAGCAAAGGACGGAGTCCGGTCTCACCATAGGGTGTACGTGGTGAAGAAAGGGACGTAGAAGGGCTGCTTCTCCGGGTAATGCTTCAGGGAGACCAGCACGGCATAGCAGAACCACACGTAGGCCACCAGCTGCAGGGCCATCAGACCGTAGCCAGCAGGGCTGTCGTACGCGTACAGCACCTCACCCGGGTCAAAGAACTGGCACGGGGGAGACGGCACGCACATTAGAATAAGCAGAACATTGCAACAAATAAGAGGTGCGGCAACTGTTGACATCTTGCTGAAAACCTGTGTCCTATTTAATAAGATGGATTGCTCCGGCCTCGGCTGTGACGAGCGAGCCAAAGCTCAGCTTGAGTCTTTGACATTGACACTCCTCCACATCTAGGTCATCAGCGTGTGAGCTCAAAACTTTGCGGGAGTGTGCCGGCACCAGACACAGAGACTGGATAGCCGTACTGGGTTACTCTCGCTACATAATGCATAGTTCTGACAGCTCCGTGTGGTGCTTGCAGGGCTGCAGCCGGCCAACCAGAGCCTGGCAAATTCCAAATTGTCGGCCTAGTACCACAAATACGTTTAAAGTCTTCATTCCAGGTTCAGTTGTAACCTAGTTTAGCATATTTTTAGCTGGAGCTCCCCTGTGTTTGAGCTCTTTCTCAGCAAGGCCGTGTAAGGGGGAAAGAGACTGATAAATCATACCGCTTCAGAACTATGTGTTGTGGTGTCTGACAGCTATAGGCTGTTTTATTAAATATAGCAGCTATTTTCAGGGCACTCCTATTGGGTCATTACCGCCCTGTATTGAAAGGCAGTAATCTTCTGTCCCCAAATGCACCAGCTTTACATCTGCCAGGGCTGAAGTATCTCCTCTGTGAAGAGATATATGTGTCTCCGAACACTCCTGGCAGAATTTTAATTCATGAGCTCATGTCCTCAGCATCATTGCTGGTGAAATGTGTTTCCTTTCTCTCATGCAGTACATACATGGAAAAGTAGAATTAATGAGAGTGAAGAACAAAGCTTTTTGTCTTTTAATCTGATTTATTAGGAAGTCTCATTGATTATCTGTTTCATGTACTTTACCATGAAAGTATTTAAAACCAACCGCTCCTCTCCGGATCCAAAATATCCAATTCATAAATTACGTTCTATCAAATTTTATGGTCCACTTGATGCATTTTTATAATTAGCAATGGATCAATGTAATGAGTTACTTGACAGAGAGAGCCATTACAACCTACGCTGGCACATTCATTCATGAATATTTATGAGATTATTAAAAAAAGCTAAAGAGAACAATAACACAAGTGCAGATACTGTGTGTGGCAATGTTAAGTTGGAAATCTTGATTCTAGTTATGTTAGACATGTAGGTTAAACTTTAAGGAAAAGTGTTTCGGGGTGTTAACATGGGAATTTTAAGTAGAATCAGAAGCAATCGACAAGAAATTACATACCATGTACTAATCTAAAGCAACAGATTACCAACAAATTGGAGGTAACCACTACAAATATTTTGTTATTACAATGTTTCCCATGTCCATCATAGTTAAGAATTAGTTAAAAACGTTGACAGATAAAACTCATTGTCAGGAAGGTTCCCTTTCATACATTTTCTACAATTCTTTAGTTTGGTCTTTTGTATGTTAACCTACAAGTTAACATACATTTTGCACCAAGCATTCATTTGTTTTTGTCTGGTAATAATGAATGAATTAATCAATCAATAAAGAAAATCAAGTAGCAGGCTCGGTGCGGTGGTGCATGGAGATGTATTCTGTGTACTGTACCTCGGCCTCGTAGATGAACAGGATGACGTAGGTGATTGTGTAGACTGTCATGTAGATGCTCAGTTTAACAGACCCACTGTGACTGATCCTTGCCCTGACACACAGGGACAAACACGGTGCAGGGTCAGAGTTGCACAAATATGGGAGGAGGATTAAAAAAAAAATTACCGCAGACACACTTCCAGGTAGATAAATGAAGAAAGAGTGACACGTGACTCCACAAAAATACATTCGAACTTTCTGCCAGCTTAAGATATAAGCAGCCACTGACCATGACCCTCTTCTCTTAATAAGAAGAAAATGGCTGCAGGCAAATGTGAAAATGTAAGCATTAACTCCTTGTCAGCATATCAAATATCTTTCTGCCATGTGTAAATTCATCACCAGAGAGGGTTTGAGCATTTTTCTTCTAGCTGACAACAACTCGGGTATGAGACGTGTTTTCAGCTTGATGGTCATGCAGTTTTCAGATTATTAACTGGGGTTTTAAACCTCTAATATGTCCAGTGATGACAGAATCCTCTGAGCCCAGAAAAAGCTGTAATACCAGTGTCAGCAGTTTATATACTTTGCATGCTCAGTTTTTTCCTTAATCTTTATACTCGGTATACTGGTTTAGATGCCAATAAACCAAACGTTTTGAATGGATTTGATTGAATTTTTGTGAAAGCATAATTGGGGGACGGTCTATCGCATTTTCTCATTTTAATACAATTACAAATTGATGTGTTCTTCTTTTTGTCATTTTGACAAACAGAGTTTCAGATCAAATTTTAAGAAGTGGCCAGGGACAGATGAGCCAGCAGGGTATTTGTCTACTCAGGTGTAAGATGGATGGGAACATACTGAGGTTCCAGTAAAGAAGAGCACTCGTAAATAATCTATTGTATAGTATTACTGCCTGTCCTGAGCAAATTTCCAGTGAGCCTTGCCAGGGAGGCAAACAGTTGTTGCATTTGCTGCAGATAATAGTGATCATTTTGCTCCTAAAAGAAACCCTAAAGACAACTATTACTCACACCGGAGCAGCATTCATCTGCTAGGTCATCCGCACTACAAGAGCCAGTATATTGATGGAGCTTTTTGGCCTACCCTTTTGGCACTGTCATGTCATAAGACCAGAACATGCCTGAGACAGAGAGAGCTGACATCAAGAGACAACGCAGTACAAATACACGGGCCAAATCCCTCAGCAGGCAGCAAGGGGAATGTGGCAAAAAGTATGAGAAAAAGACAGTCACACACAAGCATATATTAAAACAATTCTACAAAAAAAACCCTCCCCCACCTGGTGACAGTGAAACCTTTGCCCAACAATATGAGCATCAGAAGGAACACCAAGAAACTGACGGAGAACAGTAATTTCCCTGGAGATGGACAGAGAGGTGGAGAGAAAGACAAAAAAAATGAGAAAAAGACAGAAGGGGTAATTAGGTTGTGGTTTCCGAAACTGTGATATCACACTGGAACAATAAAATCAGGTCACCACACACATATTGCACACACACACAGTCACATAAAGTCACGCATGATCCCGCCTATGCCCGTCGACCCAGCCATTATGTCTCTCCAGCCACACACACATCCATCATCGTCCACTCATCCACTCCGCTCGGGCAGCGAGTTATTTTCCAGGGCAGATGCAGTGTCAGTCACTCGCTGAGCGGCCATTGAGGGGGGAAGAACTCACCGAGTATTTTCAGGCTGCCGTTGCCAACTCCATCTCTGGCATACAGGCCCCAGTAGACACAATGGAACAACAGGCTGAGCACTGCCAAGTGGAAAAGATGAAGAGAGAAGTGAGACAGAAAAAAAATAAGTGGAGGATGGAATGAGGGAGGGGAGAGGGGTGGAAAGGGATAGGTGAGCGGGCGATACAGAAGAGCAGGCAGAAGAGATGTGGGATTAAAGCAAAGACATTGAATACGGGAGACAGGGAGATGATAATAGGGAGAGAGAGGATGGGAGAGAAATGGCGAGAAGAGGGGAGAGAAGGTAAAGAAGAGGAACTGATAAAAAGAGGCTCAAGTTAAATGCAAGGAGGGGGTGAAAGATAATTTGGGGGGGGGGTGCGAGAATTGAAAAGAAATTTGGAGAGGGGGTGAGCAAGAGAGAGAGGAGAAAGCATGATAAGGAGTTAGAGGAAAGATGAGGGAATAGGATGAGGAGAGGGGTTCATCAGTAACAGCATGCTTCACTGAACGCTGTGGTACAGCACCTCTGTTTACCAGAGCTCCTATTCAGAGGCTAATAAGTGCGATAATATCTCTGCACTTGAAGTGTGGATTAAGGTATGAGATGCTGCAGCAGTGCAGGAGGATCATTGTCACCCTTTGAGTGTGTGAGTGTGTGTTTTGGACAGAAGCTCTTACCCTCCACACCTGCAGCCGTCATAAACATTTTGTAGGTTGTGTGAAGGAGCTGTCTTCCCTTCAGATTGTCTGGAGAAGGAAAAAGAAAACAAGGAATGAAGTCATAGAGGTGTGCGAGTGTGCGTGTGTGTGTGTGTGTGTGTGTGCTGCGGCGGGTGCAGATAAAAAGGGCCGCGACGCGCTGACAGATGGCAAAGGAGAGAGACCGAGAGAGGGACAGAGAGAGTAGGTACAGAAGACGACAAGAACAAGAGAACGGGCCAAAAAACACGGGGAGCGCGATGGTTAGTATGCACCAATTTTGTGATGCTCATCTCTGGATGAGGGTAATACATCTTCTCTGTTCTCTCTACCAAAACTGAGAGGAAATATTCTTAATGCATACATAAACAGGCTATTTTAATAACAAAATACTCCGGCGTGAAGCTCCGGCATGCTAGGGGAAATCGTATGAGGAGGAGAAGAGTTGTTAACACCCACTCATTGCCGCCCTGTACAGCCACATACTTGACCAGTCAAGTGTAGGCTGTAAAGGACAAAGTTTGAGAAAAATGTTTCTGCGAAAAAGAGAATCTACCTCAGATTTCAGAGCACTATAATCTTTTGAACATGTTGCGATCTATTAGATATAAGGCAATAAACACAAACACAACAAATATTTGAATACTAAGAAGAGAACAAGCTCACATCTCAGGAAGTTTACAAAACATCCAGGAAAGTTCATTGGGCCTCTCAAATATCCTCATTACTGGATGTAGAATGGGAAATGTTTCATTATTATATCATTGGTCTAGTTATATTGGAGAGATTATATTTCACATGACACATTTTTACAAATATTAGAAAACTAGTGTGAAAAAGAGAAAGTTTGTTGAAACAAAAAATGTTGACACTGTGCACAGATCAGAAAGGCTGGAGCTGGTTGTGACAAAGCTAACAAGCTTTTACAGACACACAATCAATTAAACAGTATCTGTTTTTACATCAAATCACTTTAAGCTTTTTGTCGATTCTATGACAAACTATATTATACTAATAAGAATTATACGGGTGATCTAATGACTTTTCTTTGATTTGTGCTTGAGCAGGAAAAGCTTGTCCTGAGTTGGAATATTCATAACATAACTCCACGGCTGCATTAGGGACATTCAGAGTGATCTTTGGTCACAAGCAGAGAATACTTCATTTTAATTGGTCACAAGTAGAGAGGGCGGAGAACTCCATCGGCAGATTTATTTATAATCTATGTTTAATTCAAGTGGTTCATCCCTACTCTGGTTTAAACAAAGTAAGGCATTTTGCCCTACGGGAAACCTTAAATAAAAATAGCCAGAAAATACAGTATCCTTTTATGCTTTTAGTCTCTTCTTGGAGCTGCTGGATGGCTCCATTCAGGGTTATTTCTGCTTCGATCTTCCTGCAACAAACTCGCTTGAGTAACCTTTAGTCTGCTGCTGACTCCTGAGCTCAATCAGTCATCTTTACATGGAAACCGTACCTTCCTCTCCACCGTGTTCTCACTCCTTCTGTTCTGTTGCATTTGCTCTGTTCTGACAAACTCTCAACTTCGAGAGAAAATGGGCAAAAGCTTCCCCATTACTTATCTTAAAGAAAACACAGAAACGTACTCCTATTCCATCAAGAAAACATGCAGATTTTATAAAAGAGCTGATGAAATGTCCATTTTATGACTGCTGTGAGCTTTGAAAGTCAGAGTAAATCATCTTGAAGTGGAAAAAGAGAGATCTGACTAAGTAGAAAAGGTGGTACTTACAGGCAAAGTAGCAGGAGAGGAGGAAAACCAGGGAGAAGATGACCAGGAACGTGATGTCTGTCTCCAGGATTCCTGTTTGAATAAAACAGAAGAAGGCAGAAAGAAATGTATGACTTGATTAAATAATATATATTACACAGAGATGAAAATCTAAAAAAAAAAAGGGAAGTCAATACGATTCTAATAATATCAAGGCGACAGAAAGTGGGGGCCAATGGACGAAGGCAAAAAGAGCAGGAGTAAGGAAATCCAGTGAGGTGGTGAGGAACAGAGAGTTTGTAACAGCAGAAGACAAGCACGAGCAAAGGAGGAGGCACTGGAGATGTAGGAATAATTCAGTTAGAACATTCATGGGCATTTTCTTCTTTTCATCCCTCCCTCTCAGTTCATCTATCATCATTAATTCATTCAGCCGTCCCTTCATTATTCCAATTTGTTCAGCGCAGTGTGCTTTATTGGCCGTGCTAAGTGGTGTTGGCTTGTGCCATCGGCGATTCGTTCCATAATCTCTCTCATTCTGTCTAATCGCTCTTACCGAACTCATCTGCAGAGAAATGCTGCGTCCAGAACGACTGGCCATTGGTCAGCTTCATCTCGTACTCCAGATGTAAGCCTTCGCCCTGTGAGAGTGTGGAGGACACCAGATGAGGGGAGCAGGTTTGATTAAAAATGTATCCTCTTGCACTTTTACAGGCTTTGTGATCTGTACAAAATATGATTAATGCTTCATGCTGCGGTGGACAATCCTGCAGGTTGAACCGGCAGCGAGAGGTAATGACTTTTAGATGTATATTTAAACATTCTCATAACACTGAGTTTTTCTCTATAATACTGAAAATATAAATGTATGGGGCATATTGAGCAAGGAATTATGATCTGGACTTAAAACTAACACTGAACATGAGGTCAGAGGCAAGCCAGCTCTGACCTTTGAGGGCATGGTCTTGGGTGGCTGTCCTGTGATCAGGGATGTTGGCAGCCATTGTTTTGGCATGTAGAGCCCGCATGGGCTGGACCTGTTCCAGTGCATCTCGAGGATGCTTGATCTTATTGGGATCTGTTGCTTGGAGGCTGGAGAGACACCCTAGGCTGTTTGTAATGTTCCTTTGGTCTTGGTTTTTATGTGATCTCTGCTTTGACGTATACCTCCCACCTAAACACGGCAGATGGAGCGCAGACACATAACCCCTCTGAAGCTGGAGCACTCCCAGGCAGTGTCAAGACCAAAGCACAGTGCAAAAATATGTGCAGGAAAAGCTCAAGGAATGCAATAAAGGACCAAATTTTTGCCTCTGAATCCCCCAGATAGTAATCTGAGTCAGTATCCACATTGTGTGCTGAAACAGGACAGATCCACAGAGGCCCCGGGCCCTAAATGGATTGCTGCCAACATCCAGGCATCAGTCCACAGGACATGTTAACATGTTTGGTGACAGAATAAATGACCAAACGTTTAGAAAAAAAACGCATAGCAACAGATTGTTTGCTGCTGTCCATAAAAAAAGTGTATGGCAGAATTTTTCCACCCAAAAACATTTTTCACACCAGAAAGCCATGTGATGAAACGAGTGAATTCACAGCCTCACATTTTAGAAGTTACACCTCTAAAGCACCATTTACTTTGATGATGTGGACGTATCACCAAACTCCCAGCCTGTCACAAAAAAAACAAACCTAGATTTCCTCAGACAGGTTTCTGTTACTTGAATGCAAAATCACCCACATCTTGGCTTGGGTAGGAACGGAGTGTTGATTTCTAAGTGTAAATGTGTTATACAGTCAGTCTCCCAGATGGACTGGAAGCACCTAAAATCCCCTAGTGAGAAGAAGCAGCGAGAAAAGAAGAAAAGGGGGAAGCTAGGCTGCTCTGCCTGCTGTTTCGCCAGAAAAAATATGACCCAGATTAACAGGAAGGATGGATCACATCGATAACAGTTTCTGAATAACTTTATGGTCTCTTCCTATGAAGTGCATATAGATACAAGTATGTATGTATAATATATATCTATATATATATAAATATGTTATATTCGATTAAGATAGATTAAATGGATGGAGAAGACTTGGTAAAGCATGATAAAAAATGGAAGGAGCATGGACAAAGCGAACGTTCACCTCGTGGTAAATCACAGCTGGAATTAAGTTCATTTTGGCAGTTACGCCAACAAAAAGCATCAAACTGAATTGAACTTCTCAGGTGAGAAAAGTGGAGGAATGGAGAGCAAAGAACAAGAGAAAGGGCACAGAGATGGGTTGACAATCAGAGCACAGAGAGCTCATTTCACACACGCGAGTTCAAAGCCGATGGAGTTCGCGGTTGTTGCAGTGGAGCAAGCAAACAGAGAGAGGGAGGGGGAAAAAAAGACTTTGATTTCATTTGGCAGCTTGAGACTCCATCTCACTCCCTCTATCACAAAGGGTGAGAAGCATGGAGCGTGCATTGCCACAAAATCAATACAGACATAAAGAGCAAGGGAGGAAAGATAAAGAGAGTTATAGATGTAGGGAAAGTTTAAAAACAGGTGGAGCGAAAGGATGAAATCAGGGAAAAGAAGCAAATGGTAGGAAGACGGATGCACGGGAAAGGTGCACTCTCCTGTGAATCTCTCTGTGGAAGAGACTATTGCAATCCCAGTTTGGGGCCTTGGTGTGCTCCTGTTAACCTCATTTAAAAAAGACACATGAGACTTATGTGAGATTGTTGCTTTGGGGTAAAAATGTTTGAAAGTAGCTTGCTGTTTAGTGCAGTCGGCACAGCTGTGCATTCTCAACACCTGAAGTTTACACCCACATGGAAAGGTAAAAAGGCAGAAGCAAAGATGTTCTGACATTAACCCTACTAAGGATTAACCAAAAATAAAAGCAATTGACCCGGTAGCCGGCAGACAGCAAATCATCACTTTTTAATGCTCATTTATAAAATTCTAAGTCTCCAGTACAGCAGTCGTGGACTCAGTGTACCGCATAAATGGGAAATCTAACCTTTAAAAGATCATTTTCAACCTTTGGCTTTTGGATGCACAAAGTTGGGGAAAACAGCATGGCCCCAGGGTTTCCTTTGTGCTCTTCTATATGGCAAATCCCTTTTCACAGCAGTTCCTTAACCCGAAATAACATTCAAAGTTAGTCCGATTTCATTGAAAATAGGAAAGCTTTGGGATTTGGTTTGATTAAAAAAATGTTGACAACACAAAAGTTGAGTTATGCCTTGTTAAGTTTGGAAATTTAGAGTCTGTAGTTCCTATACATTTTTCATTTCTCTCAGATTGTCGCATTCCTCCAGAACCACAGATGATATCTCACTAGAATTTCTATTTTTGTGCTGTGCCCCAAATATGCAGTCATTTTTTCTGGGGAGGCTTTCTGCAGGATTTGAGATCCTGTCTGCAGGGACCTGCTCCCCTCCCATTACGGAAGTGTTAGTGAGGTCAGGCAGAGAGGTCAGGTGATAAAGCCCGGCTCAATGTTGGTGCTCCAGCTCATCCTGGAACTGTTTAGGTCAAGGATTGGTGAAGACCAGTGAATTGCTTTAGCCAGCTCAAGCAAAGAACTCTGCAAAAGGACACGCTTTGTGCAACACAGAACTGCCCAACAATGTGAAAAGCCGCCCCAGCCTAAAATAAATCTCATGAAGTTAACATATCTTCATTAGTCTGTTGAGGGAAATCATATAATGAAAATTATTTGAGTAACTTTAAAGCAAACATTTCTATAATGCAGCCTTAAATTATGACAATCTAAAAATCCTGAAGCCTGCAAAATTCCTATTTGTGAGAATGGATTTCCCAGGAAGCATAAAATTCTGTGATTATTCCTTATTTACAAGTCTCTGGAGGCGCAGTGTTTCAAGTCCAGACTGTTTCTCTCCTGCAGGACGGTGTTCCAGCGGGAGATCTTTTTGCTTCAGAACAGGGCTATATTGAGCATCTGTGGTTTCCACAGGGCTCCCTCAGTAAAGATGAGAAAGCTGTGTCCACACAACAACAATTTTATAGGAAAATAAGCATCTTGACCAAGCTGGGAGCTCAAAATTGTTGTCCAGCTTATTTTAGCCTGCATCAACAGCTGCTCCAATTTCAGCTCTCCTCGGCTACCCAGATGAGGCGTTTTTGTGTCACTACCATGAATTCTGCTTAGAATAATAAGGTGGTTGACAACAGCAACGTAATGGTTTGTGTTTAAAATACAACAAGGTTAAATTGTCTGATTATATTGTACATGCTGGATGAAATAGAATACACAAACTCAAGCTTTACTCTGTTTTGTTTGTTTCTCATGGCATCACATCAGTCCTTTTAACACTTCCACTGAAGCCCACAGAAAGAGTTTCACAAAGGATAAAGAGGCCTGTATTTAAATACACAATGGCTGACAATCCATATTTCCTTTTATATTTTGTTTTCAACTCACAGGAAAAGAAAAAACATTTCTGATAGTTTGCAAATTTTTAACAATTTCCTTGTCAGAAAGACCATCCTATGCCCAGTAATTTGTGATGACAAACAAATTAATTCTAATGACTGTACTTTTCTTCTGATGGCATAACAATTTGCTGTCATGATGTTTCTGCTTTAATTCATCCACTGAGCTTAAGTGGAAGTGTTAAATAAGGATCTGCCTCATGTTTTCTGTTTAATGCAGGTGGGGGAATTGAGAGCAGATATCCTATGGTTTTAAAGATTTTCTGTGTGAGCTGATCTGGACTTAGATTCACCTGGGCAAACTATAGATCCAGATTGATAGTACATGAAAGTAGAGCTGGATGTGGCAAACAGGAACAAAGTCAAATGTAGTGATGCAGATGCAAGCGAGTTGGCCAAGAAAAAAGCCTTGAGCAGGAGAGGTAACGAAATGAGAGCGATAACATGGGGTGATGGAGGAGAAAAACACAATTAAGAAGAATCTGGCAGAGAGGAGCAGGGAATACAGAGGTAAATAAAAATGAAATGGCATGGCGCACCTCACAGCTTGGTGACAGAGAGTTGAAAGAGAGCAGGACATTGCCAAAGATTGTGAGCGACAGCGGGAAGAAAGATGAAGAAGTGTGAAAGCGAAACGGAAGCGAGAAGGCAAGCAGTGAGCCACGAGCGGTGGAAATTGGCTGTGGGACACAGCGTGCATATGTCCACGGGAATGGAGACGGGCTTTTATACTCAAGTCCAACAGCATTAGACCGCATGTCTTTCAGCAGACACTGGCATGACACTAAACCACGCTCCACAGGAAGCATCCTTTCTAATCATACCCCTCCTCTGCCAATGCATTCACAACCAAACCTCCCCAAAAAAACATTCAAGGGCATGAATGCTCACACACAATTACACACAAACTACCCTTCCTACTGGCATCACAGTGTGTCATAGGTAAGCAGGCACTCTGTTAAACACAATGAGCAGATATGTCATTCATTTACTGTCGCCCACTTCCCTGACACCAGAAAAAGACTGCACTCAAAGAACCCAACACATGCACACTTAGGGGGTTTGTCCTTGTCGCTGAGCTATCATTATGCAGGATCATGATTTCTATGCGGAGTGCCCCAATCCACAAGCAAGCAAATCATAGCAAACCACATTGCTCCTTTTGTTGGCAAGGCACAAAGAAGGTCCCATTTTAATATAAAGGCAATGGCCAGAAAACATTTAAAGCAAACAAAGAGGCTACAGTGGAGTCTTTGGAGCTCATTAGATGCAGAGATTAATCAGTGATAACACACTGTAAGGTCAGAAGTTTTGAGCCACCCTTCATTTCTTCATATCTTGCTATCTTGGTCATGCCAAATGTTGACTTTTTAGATGTGCTCATACTCAGTTTTTGTCTAATGTGTTGTGTTTCCATTCAGCTTTGCTCATGCTCCAGCAGAATCCCGCACCTCTCTCCTGCTTTCCTCGCGATGAAAATAGAAATTACCAGAGGCCTTTTACCTCTGAACTAAACCGTAGGAAAAACTTGAAGTAAAAATTTATTTTCTTTACTCGTATCACGGGTTGGTTCTGGTGGGTTGGAAAAAAAGGCCAGTTTCTAAAGAAATCAGCCCCTTTCCTATTTAGATGCCTTCAAGTTACAGGATTTTATGTTCTATTTTTATTTTTCAACAAAGTATGGTGTAAAATCCAAAAATGGGGAAGCACATGCTAGAGCAAAAACTTCTGCTGGAGTTGATTAAAATTCATAGGGAGACTGCATGAAAAGTTGCCTTAAATTATCCAGGTTTCCTTGGGGTATGTTGGCAATATTTTTGTCTGAGCCCTCCTATTTTAAGATCCATTTCTGTAGCTTGCACCTGGATTCCCTTTGAGAGTTTTGCATTAATGAAAAAAAAATCAAACTTGGACTTTGAGTTGCAATGTAAAACCTGAAAAGTTACATCCCAGCAAATGTAGAAACAAGCATTTGATGTGGCTCTACTAATTACTTATTACTCTTATCAAGGAGTAATGAATCTCTCAGAATAATGGGGAGACAAATTATGACACCGATGCCAATGTTTGTTGCTCTGAATAGAGAAAGGAACACTAAAAATAAATTCATGGGTGGGTTTGCTCACAAGCAGCCTCAGTCTATGCGTCACCATGTCAAACACTTGACAATCCCGCTGCCCTTGCTTGGAAGAAAGAGGCAGCAGTGTCAGGGAGGGTCAAAGGTCACTGCTTACCCCACACTTGCTGAGAGCGATGTACCACCATCTCTCTCTCACCGAGCGAAAGCTGCGGCCACCCACACAGCTCAGAACCTCCTCGTTGCCATCGCCCTCCACCTGAGAGAGGGGAAATTAATGGAGGGGGCGGCGCACAGAGGATGTTGTTATTCCAAACAGGCAACACATTTTACCTCAGAGACACGCTGGGTTGACAAACTAGCGTGGGAGCCAGAGATATCAAGATATAACATATTTCACATCCCGATATAGCACAAAATATGACTACGAAAACATTTCAGCAACAGAAACATGCAGGAAATCACACCTCTGATTGAAATAAACAAGTTGTGTTGCTTTAAAAAAACAAAAGTAAATAATAGGGTCAAAATTCTTTCAAAACTGTCCTGTTAGTTTAATACCTCACCTAATATAATACATGTGTGGATTAGTGTCCATTAGCTCTCAACCCCCACTGTGTCTGTCTCTCTGTTTACTGGTTTCCAATTTTGCATATTTCTGAACCATTTTTGCATCATAAAACAACATGTATTAAGAAAGGTGAAAATATGTTCTACTGTCTGGAGAGAAAAGGGAACAACATGAGTTACTGAACTCCACGCATTAGCTGAACGCTAATCTGCTCTTAACAAGGTCAGAGCTCGAGTGAATAAAAACATTTTTAAAAACATCAAAACACATGATTATTTTCTTTCAACTTAATTCAGGGACAGCCTACTGCTCATTGCAGCATGCCTTTATGTAAATGTATCTGTGTGTGTGTTCTTACCACACATCCTGACCAGGTGTAGCGTGTGGTGAGATTGATGACTTGGTTGTTTTCCGGCCTCAGCACAGCTTCCTTCTGGTAGCAGTTCTTCCATCAGCAGACAAAGATAAATTTAATTTCAAATATAAACTGCACAAAAAAAAAATGGATGTCGCCATATCTGCAGCGTAGGCAGCCCTGTCAGAGCAGCTGATGCCACTGGACATCTATTCAGTTGACATTTCTATATTTGAAATAAGTGCAATGCAGTTAGGTGGCAAAATGGAACTACTTCAACAAAAAGTGAAAATGCATGCAAAGTGTTCAATATGTATTCAAAGTCAGCTGTTTTCTGGCTCATTTGTCTTCATTAGAACTGGCTGTTGGCCTCCTGCGCTCTAAACAATTCCCATCACTGCTTATTACCACAATAAAGTGTTTAGATATTAGGAACTGTTATTGTATAAAAAGCAAGGTGTGTTTGCAGAAGTTTTCATTGACATTGTTTTTTCATTTAAAGTTTTGCTGCAGCTGCTATAGAAATAGACTTTTTTTTGTCTTTTCTTTCACTGTTTAGTTAATATGAGACATCTGTTAGCCTGTCAGTGCAAAATGGTGTGTGACGAAAGAGGTCCAGAGTGTTTTAATCTGGGAATCTGACAGAAAGCCGAGAAACACCTGGAGTATCTCAACATAATGCCACGTCTGGCTGTCAGAAGATGTCTGGCAGATGAAGGTTACACCACTGTCCAAATCATTTCAGCTAAACTATGAAGGCATTTGTGTCGATAATATAGGGTTTTTTTTTACTATGCAAAATCATTTTTGCATACATTTTGAAAAATTCTGTGCCAAATAACACCTTAGAGCCTTAATGATGGATCACAGAACTTCCAACTAAGAAACTCATTCCCCTAAAATGACAAAAAAAGCAGTTGCATCAGATGGAATAAAAAAAGATCGAGTTGGTTAAGTGCAGCTTTAAAAAGAGCAAGCGGAGGGCACTAATGCCTGCATGTGATTCATATATAATATTCATTAGTTGTGAGAGCAGTTCAATGATGATTTTATAGTCTAAATTATGTTACATCTTTTAGTACAACCTGGCTGTGCTATATGAGAGAAAGCATTAACAATTGATGCATGCTGCTTCTATAGCTTGGAGACAGACCAGTTTACATAAATCTGCTCTGTCTTACTGCAGGCAAAGATTTCATTTCATAGATCTCAAATTATGGAATCAGACAAATTGTATATGACCTCTGCACAGAGCAAGTGCCGCAGAACAATATTCCTAAAGTTGGGAAATGGTATCAAGGCTTGCGGCTCAGTCTTTTAAGTGATCTTTTTTTCTTTGTCTCTATTATTGGCTTTGCACTCCAGCAGATTTTTTAATAAAAGACCAGCCATGAGACTCGAGTGCTGACTTAAATCTTCAAGTATATTTCAGTGTACACAGTGCTACTGGGTGAACAGAGTAAGTGTTGCTATTTTATCCATTACGTTTACGGATGGCAAAGGACTTACTTCATTTTCTTTTAATTGGTAATTCTGTAAAGTTTTTAAATAGAATCAAATTAGGGTCAAATGTCTGTATTTTGCCCTGTTACTTACGGTTTTATTTAAAATCCTATATATTGGTCCAGTGGAGCCTTATAATAAAACATGTGTCAAAATGCACATTTATTATGTGATTTAGTTTTTTGTGCAAGCCATGGCAAAAAGCTTCCATGTTTGCAGAAAATCTTGAAATCTTCGCATTTTTAATGGAGCGCCTTCAGCTCAGGCACGCACAACTCTCTGGTGTCTCAATTTGTGCGAACAGTTCAGCATCATACCATCCTTGATCATCGCATGTATCATTAATAAAACAGCGACCTCGTGTGCATTTAGCTGCTGTTTTCAAAACGTCAACTTTGAAGAACTCGCAGTTTTTTTTGGGTTTGTTTGTCTTTCAGCTGGAAAAGAAGTGTGTGATCCTTCAGTTCCAGATAAACTGTTGAAATGGAATAGGATAACTCTTTATTACAACAGCCTCATGTGGATAGGCAGATTTTTTCCACACTAAATATTAGCTTGTCATGTTGCAGAAGCTGTCAGGATCTCACCTTTTCAGGCCTCTTGTACACAGCTGGCCACTGAGAGCTGTCATCAAAGTAGAGCAGTATGTTCTGACAGCAGCGAGACTGCACCCAACAAAACACAGTGAAAGAAAAAGAGATTACACTGAGCTGTGTACAGATCAGAGAGTCAGTAAAATGATTTGAGATTCAAAGCATAAAACCATTTTCAACAGTCTACAGGCACAAACATTTGAAAAAAAAAGAAGTTTACGAGGAAAAGCTGAAGATAACCAGAAGATACCACAATTGTAAAAAGAGAACCGGGAATGACTGATGGATGGGAGAAACGCAACCGGGGTAGTACAATAGGGGCAGTCAGAAGAAGGAGGGAAAAGTAGAGAAAAAGCTGTGGCAACATTTAAATGAAGGACGGAGGGAACGCTCACTCAGATGGAAGATACAGCAGAAAAAACGATACGTTGGAAAAAAGACGAGTGCACACTCTGCCTGACTACAAAGTGCTGAAACGATCTGAAAATAACTAAACCCAGTTCAGAAACATACTGCGATGCTGTGCGATACCAAACATGAAAATATAATGAAATTGTATATTTAATTGAAAATACAAAAAGAAAAACACATCAAATGTTAAAACGTTCTCAGAAATACACGCTCATGTTCAATTTGATGCCAGTAACATTTCAGATGAAACAGGAAAATGTTTACCACCATGTTACACCACCTTTTACTCATGTTGCTCTTAAACTTGAATTCATCTTTCAGTATTAGTATTCCCTTTAATTATGAGTCATCCTACCTTTGGATAGCGAAACCGGAAATCCAGCCTCCCAAAGTCAGTGAGAAAGCAGAAACGTGTGAGGAAAACCCAATCCTACAGAAACAGAGACAGAGAAACCAGTCAGGGTGTAAATGACAACCTGCCGTTGTGGAAGATACAATTTTTGTGTTTCCTGTCCTAACAATCTGATAAGAACTCAAAAAGCAAATTCAGAATGAGACCAAGACTATGACCGACTGGCGGCCTGTTCGGGGGGGGGTGACTGCCCCTCGCCCAATGACAGCTGAGATATGCTCAGATCAATTTTGAAATCCATTTCAAAAGACTTGTATATCATAATGTAGACACAGTTAAATGAACGGCTCATAGACACTAATTAATCTTGTATGTTAATTTTACTAAAATCCATCACATCCGCTTTAGGAAATTGTTAGACAATGTGAGACAAGAGAGAAGGTTTGGGAAAGGCTTATGAGGGTAAAAGATTTAGAGGAGGAGCTGCAAAAAAGAAATTAAAGTCTGTGAAAACATTATTGAGGCTATAAAGAAGAGGACAAGTGGGAGAGGGAGTTAGAACAGCAGAGAAGATTTCCAGGGACTTAGAAGAAAAAAATGTCAATGAAATAAGTTTGTAAAAGAAAATATTATAAAAGTAAAGAGGTAGGAGACAGTGAGCAGAGGTTAACCTTATAAATTAGGTAAACAAAAACTTAAACCCTTGAGTCCATTAATACACAGAAGGGAAAAAAGTCCTGTCTATCCTGAATATTTTTCAGGAAACAACCCGGCTGCACGGGGCCTGACGATAGTGCTGATGGTGTACTTCATTGAGGTTACATAAGACACTGCAGCAGCGTTGGCATGGACGATCTGTCACTGGTGGTCTCTCTCTCTCAATACATATATGTATTTTCTACACAGCTGTGGGTAGACACTTCCTGTAGATATGGATCACAGTGCTGAACACAGCACTAACACCACATCACTGATAGTAAACGCTGTTTACACACACACTTCTGTTCCTGGATCGCTGCCCGATATGAGTGGGCCAAACTGAGGCAGAAAGAATAAATCAAGTGTTCTGAAATAGACTCTGATGTCACATCTTTAAATGCAGTAACACCTCATCTCATAAAGTAAATAATAAAAGAATTTCTAAACATTTCACTATAATGGATAGACAACTAAAATCCCAAATGTTTTGGTTTTAGCACATTTCTACTAGAAAATGTTGAAGTCCTAAGGCTTCCAAAATGTTTGTTTTCCTTAATCATTAAGCAAATCTCACTGGTCCATACCAATAGGCTTCAGAAGAACTGTAATAGATAACAATTATTTTTGAAAACAAAGATAGGGACAAAAAATAATCAAAATGATCCATGTCCCATACCCAATCGTTTCAGTTCAGGGTGATAGAAATGACTTGATATGAAGCAAGTCTCTAATGTAGATTGAGCAGTATTAAAGAGCAGGTAAAGGATAATGCACTGTGACAGCTGGGAGCTCTGGCAGCTCGCTTGCAGCTGGCCATGGCTGCCTCTCTCCTGCAGCTCCTGGAAGCAGCTCGTACTTGCAGCAGCCGGCTCTCAGCTCTTCTGAAGCTGGCAAAGACATGAAGGTTTAACTCGCTGAGCTAATATCGTTTGTAAGCACATTTGTAGCCAAAACTAGATAAGGACAAAATCTCCTAAACATACTTAACATTTAAACTCTGGAGCCATGCTTCTACACGTGAAGACCGGGCAGTCGATTCCTCACGATTTACCGCAAACACTTTTGCTGTGGCTCAGCCACTCATGCAGTTCTGTATTAATCCTCATTAAAAATACCGGTTCAAATGTTGCAACACAATTATTTGGTCACGGAATTGTGGACCGATTCCAGTTTTTCCAGTGACATGGTCATTTGCTGCGTTCTTTTGTGCTTAATGGAACTAGAAAGACCAGACACAGTAAGCTGTGTGATGACGAGTCGCACATGACTGCACAGCTCCAACCCATTAGCAGGGCAACCGACTCAATTATTGACTTATGCTTTATCCAAACAACACCAGCTTGGTCTGAGGTGCTGCAAAGAAATACAGCTGCTATGTGGTCCTGACCCTCAGGTTATATAAAAGCAGCCGGATCCAAAGAATAGCCAGGCTGTCATCTTTGAGCAGAGTCAGACACAACCAGACAATGGCAGGGTGTGATTCAGAAAAAAGAAAATGGTACTGATCACTCAAATGATCAAACAGACAAATGAATCCCTGAATAACTGACAGAAAGTGCCTTTACATTTAATCCACCAATGCTTGAGAGTTAATTGTGTTTTCAATTCAAGAACCAAAGCATGCAAAGCATTCAATATGTTACTTTTTCTCTAATTTGTCACCGTGTCAACATCATTATTGTTAGTTGTGTTGAGTTAACTGGCAACTCCGCACTCAGGTCCTTTTGGTTTTGATTTCTGACAACTAACTTCTGATTTGAAGAGAATGAAAAGCATGGAGCCTCGGTGGTGTAAGTTTGAAAATAACTTGCTATTGCAAATATTTCACAAGTTAATGATACGTCTCACACGTCCGCTACTAAATAAATACAACACAAATCCTTCATCCAAGCGGCCTTTGGTTTCGGCTATGCCTCAAATGGGCGTCATTAAATCCATGTAGCGGTGGCTCGCATCTCTTTTGGGAAAAAAGCGGGCTGCACATCAGAAGTGTTTGGTGTACTGAGCGGATCACAGAGCAGCTGACGGCGGCAAATGAGTGACTGACAGAGCAAAGAAGTCGTGTCACTGTTAACACCGAGTTCAGCGTCAGTTCATTATCACAACACAACATTGTATAACAAGCTTACATATGTGGCCTCTTTATGAGGCCTATTTTTTTTTAAAACAGATGGATATGAATGCTTAAATGATAAGTTAAGGAAATCGAATTTCTTGGTAAGCATAAGGGGATGAATTTGAAAAAATAACCAGCTCTGAAGTGTTTTGCTACAGCTGCTGATGCTGGTGTCCCACTTGCCAGATGGGAGCACGGTGAACACGCTGTTGCTGGGGAGGGTATTGTGTTTTTAATGTCCTTAAAGCTCTAAATAGACACCTCAACTCACTCTGATATCCCCAATTGTGTGCAAATCTGTGCACTCTAAATAGTTCTGCTTCGAAGCAGCTTCGCCTGCCCACACCTCTGCGGGTTTCACTTTTTGTTTGATGCGTTTCAGTCAGCTAGCAACACGTCAGAGACGCACAATAGTGTGGTCTGACAGGCAGAAATTGGGATGTACGAGGGATTTGTAACCGCGAGGGCTATTTACGTTATTATAGGTGGTGAGTGAAAGATTAGAAACGTGTTTTGAATGCTACTCAAAATCACAAGCAACCAATAAAAAACTCTTGTTTGTTGTGTGAATACTGAAAGCATGAAAAATTAAAGGAGAAACAAAGGGAAGCGGTTAGCAGGCTTCCACCAACAAAAACCTGTCACCTTATCTGCATTTTGTCTATGTCCCTTAATACAGATGGATTTTTTGTTTATGGCAACTATTTTAGACTTCACTGAAGTAAAAGGAAGACTTCAGGGGTTCCAATCGTGGGTGGAAGGATGGCAATGATATATAGTGACTAATATTAATCTTAATGAGCTTATTCCCTGTCAGCGTGTGGGCTTGTCCTATAGCCGAAACTAGAAACAGACAAATGTGTAAATGAGAGCAGCTTCACTGGGAATGCAGCTGTATTAGAAGACAGTGTATGTGACCAAATCCAAAGGCAGAGAGAAGAAAGGTATGGCACAGTGACCAACAGTAGAAAAGTTCATCTGTAAGAATGCTGGCTCGACGCTAACCTCTGTGCATTTCCCTATTTGTTGAAGAGAAAATGTGGACTAAAAGTCATTCACCACAGTTTCAGTCCCTGAGATGCTGGTGATAATAGCTCATTCTCACAACTGTGGCAAACAGCAGAACTTTGCCTCTCCTGGGTGCTATTGATAGAGGCAGAGTACATCCTGAGCAGCTTGTTAACGCCTTATGTGCACTGAGCCACCTTTGGAAAAAAACATCTGGGATTTTTTTCTAATGATCATCGAATTTAAAAAGATCTGTTCACCAGGAAAAGAATGAGTGCATTCAGTGGCATGATTTCTGACGTATGGACTAAAGACAGAGACAACTAATTGACTCCTGTATTGTGCGGATGTTCACACAGTGGACATCGGTCAAAGTAAAAAAAACACAACAGAACAGAACTGCATTTTGTAAGTGGCTCCTTGAATGTCAAACTTGGAGTTTTTGGAGTTTTTTATTTTAATTTTGAATCAACAAATATATGAATACTTTTATTAATAGGAACCCCACTTACATCCACAGATAAGAATCTGTGGCACATTTCAGCCTCCTCCAGAACCGGACGTCTCCATTATTAAAAACACGCTTTAAGGTTGGATCCTGTGGACTTTTGATCTCCAACCAACTAAACTCCAAGCAGCACCATTATACTGTAATTACCTCTGCCTTAAGCTCTTCCTACATAAACAAGCGCGGCCATTTCTGTGCTGAGAAATAAAGTGCAACCATGGCAGTGTAGCGGGACCAGAGCCGCTGCCTCCATATATCACAGCAAACAAAACCGCAGCCGTATTTCAGCCACTGCCAGCTCCCCCCCCCCATCCCCGGGCCTCAGTGTCGTAATTCATGGCAAAAGTCACGGGCTCACGCCCACCTCTGTGCATCGTCCGGGGTGACGCTGACACTGGTAACCATGGCAACCGAGGCAGCAGCAGGGGGAGGCAGTGAGATGAATCCCTGGAGCAGGTTGAGAGGGGTGGTTGAGGGTGAAGAGGTGGGACTGGCGGGGGAGGGGGGGGGGTATCACTTAGCTCACCAGCGGTATGGAGTGTGAGAGACCCCTTTGTTGTGAAAACACACACATCAACAGCTATCTGCCACACGCCTATCTGCACATCATCCACATACACCACTTAATGTGCACACCATGTAGCAGAGCCTACCCCTCCTCCCCCCTCGAGTGCCATAGCAACTACAACATGCCTTCATTTGCAGCTGCCATAGAAACATTAAAGGACAAGCCTTCATTCAAAACACACTTTTTTTTTCTTTTTTTTTTTTATCCATCCCTCATGTAATTGTCCTTCAGACTTCTCAACTCAGCTGTAGAGCACAGTTCTCAGCAATGATTTTAAAAAGCAGATAATTAGTTTGACTTCTTTCCTACATGAGCTTCTTGCTCACATTAAATTGGCCACATTCAGTCACCCAGGCAGTTAACACTAATTTCTATACTGAATACAAACTAATGAGTTACTTCATCAGCTCAGTAAATGAATCAAAAAGGTTCAACAACAAATGTAATCCAGCAAATCAACAGCCATTACAATTATTCTCCAAAGTTTTAATCACATGTGAATTTGGGTAAAAGCCTTTAAACTGAAAACATTCATTTAAAAAAGTCATTTCATTGATTGGCCCATCTTCTCAAACAGAAATAAGGCTGTATATCTAAATATTTAGAATTGAGCAGATGCCAGAAAGGATATACACGCGCACACAAAAGATACACTGCATGGTCAGAAGTATGTAAAGACCAGAACAAATCTGCGGAAAGCCTCCTCCCTAAGCCGTGGGCATTAATATGCTGCCAGAAGAGCTGCCACTCTTGGAGAAAGGCTTTGAACAAGATTTTTGGAACCTTGCTGCTGGGATTTGCTGGGTTTGTGCTGCAGGAGCTTTAGTGAGGTCAGGCGCTGATGTCAGACGATAAGGCCCAGCTTGCAATCAGCATTCCACTTCATCCCACAGCGTGTATGACAGGGCTGGGGTCGGCGTCTGTGCAGACCAGTTACGCATTCCTACAGCAAACCCAAAGAGCTGTTTCTCTTCCAACTTTGCATTCTGGGTATTAACATGTAAAAGGGTGTCACTCAGGGATAGGCATCCAAAAATAACAAACAGATTTTTTAAAACATACTGAGCTTTACTAAAATAAAAATCCATATTTTGTTGTACATAACATGCACTAATGTGTAACTACAGCATACCGTAGACGTTTTTATCAATAGAGAATAAAGTTGCATAAAAGCCTACCAAGTTATTCTTGTATTTCAAGGCCCTTTACATTCCAAAGTATTTCAATTTCATGACCTAGAAATAATGTTTTCAATAATAAAAGTCACCAGCTGAAGTAAAGCGAGTGGTGATTATCAATATTCACATACATGTGGTCATTAGAGCTAGGTGTGCAGAATGATGTCCATATATTGCAAAATCATTGACATTGAGTTTCATTGTATAAAGAAAAATGGAAATGGAAATATTCAAATTTAAAGCTTTAAAAGCTTTTTAGCTTCATGGCACTGAAATCAAACCATCTTTTATGTTTCATGTGAAGGGCCACCCCAGGAGTGCACCTGCTGACACGGATTTAGCTGAGATGCTGAACACGACAGGACTATTGGAACAAAATAATGTCCAACAACCATGGAGGGGTGAGTGCCAAGAAAAAGGCGGTGGCCCAAACACAATGAAAAAATAATTTAAAAAGGATAACTAATAACAAAAAGACCTGCAATATATCACTCAAATGACAAAGAGACACCAGCAGCCACAGGAGTTCATTTATAATTTCAGTCACACCTGTATTGTGCAGTTTGTATTTACAAGGTTTAAACCATGAAGGTGAGTATATCTTTTATTCATATGACCCAGTTTCCAAGGAGTACACACAACTGCTCATCTTCATTGCATAAATTTAAACAAACTAACCAGCTCAATGGGATTTTTCAGTTTTCTGTCAACATACAGAACAAAAATCAAAATCAAAATAATCAAAAACCATTCAAAATAACCAAGGTTAGGCATGATGGAAATTTTGTACATTTATTTTGAATGAAGACAGCTGTGTCTGGCAAAAACACGACAACCTGCTTGTGTGGAGATTCATAGCCGTGGGCACAGTCTAACGCAGAGGTCCGGGGATTTCAGTCTCATCACCAGCCACAACGAGCTGCCCCTGGTTAGCTTAGCGTAGCCTCGTGTGTTTGCATGCGAGTCACAGGAGAGCAGCCAGAGTGGAGTGAAGTGTCTACCTTAATCCCTTTTTAGTCCTCTTTTCCCCAAGGCCACTGCATTGTGATGCAGACTCACTCAGCCACCCCACAAAGCCTGTGCGCGCCACGCTCGCACGTGTGCATGAGTGGACGTACGTCCTCATATATCAAGCCCTACGACGCAGTATCTGGACCATCCAGCATCTCCCGGTCTGCTTTGTGCGTCCGTTTCAGGCCGAACCCTCGCAGTTTCTGCCCTTTCATCTTTGTGGCTTTCTGTCTTTTTTTCCTCCTCTCGTTCCCACCAGATCCATGTTTGCTTGCTAAGCCTCATTAACAATTAATTACCAATCAGCTAGTCAAGTCACCGCTGGACCGTTGGGCTTCTCAATGATTCATTAGTCAGGGTTACACAACGCTACGATGCATAAACGCACTCTGAGACACACTCACATTTGTCCCTTTCCGTCTGCTGGGGGTTTCATTGTGCACTCGGATTCTGTAGGCACACACACATTAAAGCAGGCATATGGACGTATGGAAACACCTCGTCACGTGCAGCTCCTGTGTCTAATCACAATGTCCTCATTAAAAAGAAATAAAGGAAAACTGATTACTCTCTGCTACCCCTGAATGGTTCCTAAAATGTACTTCAAAGTCAAACGGAAGGACCTTTAAAGTCTTGTTTGGTGAAACTCAAAGAGTTAAGAACCACCATGTTTCAGAATGAGGTGTGACGTTAATTACACTGTGGGATAGTACATCAGGCCTTTTTCTTTACGATCCTATTAAGATCAAAAACCTGTCAAAATTCTTAATTTAAACATTACACGTGTCAGCGCTTGCAGCCACCACAGTGGTTCTACTCATGTTGTGAACTGTTGACTTTAGGAAGAAGAAAAGGCCCACTGAGCGGAGATACGCTGATGAAGAGGAGTGGTATTTTAATAAAAAGAGAAACAGTACATTCTTTCTAGGGCATCCATTCATTTTCATTCAATTACAAAGGACAAAAGTTTAAAGCCTCACCACGGCTAATCCACAAAGGTTCATTAAGTGTCCAGACAAAAAGCATTTTTACTTTCCTCTATCCCAAACCTGACAGCTCACCACCTCCTCTTCCACCGTGCATATTCCCAGAAGAGCACTCTGAAAATGTTGAGTTAATTTTTGACTGCTGGTTATACATTAAGAGGCGTCTGAACAAGTTTAAGGCAGCAACTGTTCCTGACAAATTTACTTAGCTGAAATGTATAATGTCAGCTCTGTCAGTGAGCCAGATTTCATGAAAGCGCTCCGCTGCAGCATGGTTTATAGACTCTCCTCGTTGATGTCATTTACACTAAATGTGGGCGCTCTGGTATTTGGACTGAAGTTTATCTAGTTTTTCTGACGGATTTGAAAAATCACTCGGATGGTCTAAACAAGGCGCAACTTCATGAATCATTATTTGTATGCAAATCCCTTCAAAGAGGAACAAGTTCCATTTCTAAGCTCGACACAAAATGTATCTTGTTTAATATTTTATGGTGCTGACAATTTAGGCCTGTATTTTTGAGCAATAGCTCAGTGTCAGGGCGGAACTTTGGCTGAGTAAATGTTCAGCAAAAGATGAGCAAACTCCTGCCTCTCTGTGGATAGTCATACCAGGCCAAGTGTGGATTTAATGCCTTGCTCTGAGGTCCTCGGCTGTTGGAGGAGACCAAGCCTAATTTGATTTTGAGATTTTCCCAGCTGCCTTCATCGTCCTTCCTCTGTCCTCAAACTCCACTGCCCCCTCATAGGGACATCTTATCGGCACGTCCATACGCCACTTAGTCTAATTGCACTGGTCGACCAGCCCAAAGAGAGAGGTTGACCAGTTCTGCACAAGTAGCTCTGGATAACTATGTTGGTGTCTGACTGTATACGTCTACAGCCACTCCGCAATTTTCTCTCACTCGGCGGTCAATTTCATGTCAAATTACAGCTCTGCTCTCACCTCCACTACCGATACTATCACAGCATCAAGAAACTGAAGCCACGGCTGGAGTTGGGACTGCGCGTCTGAGAAAATAGCACATGACCTTGAGGCAGGAATACACAACTAAGGTGGATGAAGCCTTTAACTACACACATACAAAAAAAAAACTGTATTAAGACTTTCCTGAAAACTAAAACCCAGTCAAAAGGCCTCTTTCTTTCCAGGATTTTGGTAAAAGAAAGCATGCAAAAAAAGTAAAGAGCCAAGAGAAAAAAATGAAATTGGGTCACACCTTAAATGTAACCACAACAACTATTCGATTCAATCCAATTTCAGCTTCTGACCTGGAGTTAATTGTTTAAAGGAAAAAAAAACTATTGGGGTGTTTTTTTAAATTCTTTTTGTTTTTTTCGGTCTTCAGATATCCAAACAGATGACAAGTCTGTTACATTGCGAATATACTGTATAGACAGGCTGTCAATGAGTCTGACCACATCTGGAGCACAGAAGGATAACACAAACACACACACACAAATGAAGCAATAAAAATAGTGCCCATCTCCATTTTCTAAGCATAATTTGTTCCTAGTATGTTCATTTTAGGCTAGTTTTTAATACTTAAGAGCAATTTGTTAAAGCAAAAATACAGCTGCTCGGTGAATTTATGAGTCCATCAACAGAGAATCCATCTGCAAGAGTTAGAAGCGAACTGAGGTCCAGAGCAGACAGCACTTTGAGCTGAAGGTGTGAATTGAGGCATGCATCACATTCCAAAAGAGCAGGCCTCCCCGTGAGGTTCAGGGGCTGCTGGGACTCAGGTGGGGGTGTGGGTGAGCTGGCTAATCACAGATGGCTGTTCGATCCCTGGACTCCCAAAGTTACCGAATTGCAGGGGAGCACTTTGCCCTGCCACCATTCTTTGATAGTGTGTGTAACGGGGTGATAAACACACACTGAAAAGTACGTTCCGCAATCAACTGGAGGTTAAAAGGTCCCCGGTAAGTTTGAAACCTCATTCCCGACACAGACACGCCATGGGTTTTCTTGGAGTTTCCAGTGAGGCCCCATTGGTTGACAGGCAGACCCCGGATTTTTACATTTATTAGTTTAAATGTGGTATCATCTACTGACATGGCAGAGATTAAATTAATTTAATACTGACTAGATGTTCTCAGTGTCTCTGGCTCATGTGGTTAGTGATCCACTACATATCTGCTCTAGTGGACTTTTATGAAAACAATTGGTCGCCAGATCTGTCCAACTGTAAAACATTGTCATAAAAAGCTATTCTCATTTCATTTCCCTCTTTTAAATGCTTGGATTATGTTTCCTAATCACAGATGTAATGGTAAAGGGCATGTTCTGATCTGATTTTTTTTCTTTTCTTTAATGCAACACAGTACATTTCACATATTGCTACTGAAAGCATCATCCAATTGTAGCCTTGCATACATCATTAAGATCGGTTGATTTATGGCATGCCCATTACTGCGGAGTAATGAACGAGCAGATGGCTGTCAGAAGACAAAGAGACAGCAGCACAGTCACTGTTGGAACTTGCTACCTTTTGCTGCATGGCCTCTGAGCAGCTCCAGTGGAGCAGGTGCAGGCTCAGTGCAGCGTTCAAGGGCATCTCAACAGCTGCGGCGGCTGGTTGGATGCTCCTCGTTCACTTCAGCCATTTGGACGCCGGCAAATCAAACTGGTGACATCAATCTCACAATTTCACTTGATGAGAGGTCAATGAATGTGAGCCGAACAAGCCAGCAAGCAAGAGGGGTAATTAAAGAGAGTTGGCTCAGACCTTATGTTCTGAGGACCGGGGAGGAGCGAGGACGCTGGTGCAAACATATTTATGGTGTTTCCATAAAGATGACCCCACTGGTGCTAAATGAAATTTAAGCTGGTAATGATGCTGATGTTGGAAGCAAGGCAGCTTTCTTTTTATTTATTTGTAGTTTGCAGAAATAAAGAAAAAGGTATTCCTTACAAACCAGCAAGAGTTTTACAATGAATTTGAGCTTTTAGACATTTGCTTTTAGTTAAATGTATATGTTTATGATTTTTAACTATTTCATTGCTGATTTCTCAGACTAAAAGGCAACATGTGTCTTATATTGTTTCACACTTGTTTTTGGTTTTATATAACATCTCAACAGACTGACCATATCATTATATTCTGAAGCACCACCAATGAACTGTTTTTTTGTGGAAGTCCAGAATGTCAGCAGTGGTATTTGTTTGACTCGTTACAAAATGGTAGACAGCTTTACGGCATTCCTCCTTAATAAATGCCAAACTTGGTCCGGACTAAACTCCGGTCCAGGGTACCCTAACCCTGCCGGCCAAACGCGTTGTCCGGCTGCCCTGTCACATATCTCCGGGACTCACCGACACCCTGACCGGTCAGGGTATCGGTAGAGTCCCGGTCTCTGACGGGTCACCACGAAAACCCGGCCCCGCGCGCCACCGGCCGTGACGCACACCTGTGACGGGTCACCCAGAGCCATTCGCGGTGAGACCACGGCCATCCGTCAGGCTGCTGACCGCTGCCGGACGGAGAAAACGCCGCTGGCGCGTTGAACTGGAAGGATTTTTTTCTGCTCGTTGCTGGAACAACGATGATGCCAAACACCGTTGCGTTAGTGGAGGAACATACGCCACACGCGGATGGCGCGTCAGGGCTCGGGTAAAGAAGTGGCTTTCCCCGGGGAGATGACCGCCGATGTGCAGATGCTCATCCAGCCCTACCGGTGGACTGTCCAGCCCAGAGACACCTGGGTGCGCAGTCAGGTCGCGGGCATCATCTGATCGGTCTTGTGGCGATAGACCCACGCAAACAGACAGACAAAACAAAACAAACAGCGCTCACCTCTTTGGTGCTCACAATCCCTCTGACATATTTCCCGAGGACCGAATCCAGGCAGAGGAGGCTGGACAGCAGCGCCAGGCACAGGACTCTCTCCCCGACCCTCACCTCCATCTTTCTCTCACCCCGGCTGCCGCTCGTCTGCTCTCCGGGCTCCCACAAGCCCGTGTCTGCACGGGAGCGCGCAGAGGAGCACCGCGAGATGGTGAGAGAGGAGAGATGCGCGTCCACGAGGGTCCCTTTGGCGCTGGTGGGGGGGGGGCACGCCAGCTGTTGAAGCTGGATGGTGGACGGGATGGAATGCGTCCGCGTGAGCGTGCGCGTGTGGGTGGGAGTGGTGGTGGTGGTGTGGTGGTGTGGGCCGGGCGCGCGCCCCGTTCCGCTCGTGCTTTGACAATGCGACACGTCCTGACATATTAAAACAAGGAGAAAAAAAAAGGTAATAAAAATTGCCAACGCTGATTGCAATCAGGTTTTCATCAGAGGTCACACACCTCTAACGAAGCAGCGCTGGCACGGGTGGTGTGTGTGGGCTCCTGGAGCAAATGATTTTAATACTAATCAGCCAGAACCGCGAGGCGATAAGGAAAACCTCAGATGGAGCATGCAAAAAAAAAAAAAAACAGCAGAGACCCTCTGTTCTAAATTTAATATGCTAAATACTGCTAAAGGCAGGTTGCACATTATGCGCTTAAAATTAACTTAAAAGTAGAAAATCTAATTTTAAAAAACTGAAAAAAGAGCAGAGTAAACCAGAGAAGGCCAACTTTTGAATATATTGTGTTCAATAAGCTTAACCTGTCAGTGTAAAGTTGGTCAAACTGGATTAAAGCTCTCACACTGGGGACTTCAGCCACAGAAAAGTATAACCCAGCCAGCTCTTTTTAATTTACAGAAAAGGAGAAGTTTTGGAAATATTTTGTCACCGAAATGTAGAGATGTGGCATAGAGATAATACTCCTGCAAAAATCTGAGTTCTGGAACACTTCCTGTGTAAAGGAGCAGTGAATTGAGATGAAAACTGTCCACACCGTCCACACTGATCCCCTTTCACTGTGTCACTCCCCGAGACAGCTCCAGCCCACGCAAATCCACCCTAAGATTTAAGAAATGACGTTTCTTCTGTGATATTTTGGTAACCTTTTGTGTGAGCCGTGCGCTGAACAGGTTCATTCACCAGTTTGGACACAATCGCAGCATTCATGACAGAATATATTTATTCAGGTAAAAATCAACAAAAGGATGAAGCCAGCCTACACATGGTGCTTCAGATACATCATTCTACTGTGGAGACCTCAAACAATATACAGTCAAATCAATCTGCAATCAGTCTTAAAAGAAAATAATAATCTAGATGAATAATAATCTTTAATATACATTCTTTTTTTTTTAATTCACAGGTTTGCACTTGTGGTGTTTTCAGTAAGATAAAATATGTCCAGATAAAAGGGTAAACTTTATCGGTCTATGGCTTGTTTTGTTTTTTTCTTTAAAGACTAAACATACTCCACATCAGAACCGATGCAGAATGAATTGCATATGGAGTGCAGACGGGGAGAGATACCGGGAAGCATCTGCGTGTTTAGTGGGGACGGTTAACGGCACACTTTAAGCTGGGTGGACACGACTGTATCTCTGTCAGCCCTGAACTTCAACCAGGAAGAAAAGCTATGCAAATATTATTAGTCCCATGTGGACACAGTTGTGAGGTTGTTTTTTTTTTTTTTTACAGACGGACATACATGAAGCTTGTATTAAGTGTATAAACTACGCATTTGTGTTGGTCTCACCTGTGGAGCCAAAGCTTTTGGTTGCATATAGCAGGTCTTTACAGGGTAACAACTGCAACACGCCAGAACTTAAAACCTACACGAGTCGTTTTGTGCGAAAGTACTAAAACATTTTCCTTTTATTAAATCTTTGGGAAGATTTAAGAAGAAAATTGCTCCCCAGCACATAAATAAATCAACACACACACATTATGAGGCAGTAACACTAATTAAAGCTAGACAGAAACACTCCCTTCAGCTCTAAAACTCTCAGGCTGCATAAATAAGAGACTGAGAAAGCCCCGACTTTGTCAGGAAAAGTAAAAACTACACTCAACACTGACGAGATGTTACGAAAGAGTCTGACCGGAACACCTGATGGGCTTTCTGGGCCATCACTTGCACTCATGAAGCAAAGATGGGTGGACAGGGCTATGAGGCATATGAAGGCCAATACACAGTAGGTGCTAATATTTGACACAGTTTTGTTTTTTTTTCTCCCCCCAATTCGTATGAATGAGCTGGCTCTGCTGTCCATCGTTTGTAGTAGTGTTCTAAACATAGATGAAGAGGTCCATTAACAGTACAACACACACCCAAAAAAAAATAGGTCTGACTACATAAAAAAGGGCTTGGCCCTCAAAGTGGCATAATTCATCCAATGAATAGTGGCTTGTCTGTAGAGTGCCATCCACGTCCTGATTCCAACACATGACTCAAAGAAAAAAAAAGAGGACGAACAACGAGGAAAAAAAAAAAAAAAAAAGAAGCTGGGGCTGAAAATAGACCTGCACTGATCAACGAACCAAGTGCAGCAGAAGTGCACAGAGAGCATAAACAGCAGCCATTAAAGCCCCGTCAAACTTCAGCCAACATCTCAGAGAGAGAGAGGGAGAGAGAGAGAGAGAGAGAGAGAGGGAGGGAGGAGGGTGGGTGGTTATGGCTTCTTTCCTCTTCACGGGCCTCGTCCTTCCTATCAATCTCACTAAAAAATATTGCAGTAAGTACTTGTGTAGCTGACAGCCCCCAGTCCGCTCTAATCCCGTAGCACGACTGCTGCTGAAAATCCTGCTCGTCTTCAGGGGGAGGATTTCGCACTCGGGGTGTCAGCTAAATCCCATTCATCAAGCAGCGGCCCCTCTCTGCAGACCTGGCAACCTCGGCCCTGTTACCAGGCAGGGGACGGACAGAGCCAGCGTCGTTGGCAACTATATTTAGCTGGACCTGATATATGGACTAAACCGCCGAAGGACATTGTTGTGTACCTCAAAAGTGCTTTGATGGCAGCCCGCTCAGATCGTCCTCGAATGATCAAAATCAAAGTCAAGCCAGAACGTAGCAACAAGGAGAAAACGCGTCTGGACCCACAGCCACTTTTTGGTGGGGCAAATGCAGGCCGGTCGTTTTTGCTCCGCACTGTAAGCCCGAAGGCTTCTGAAAAGAGGGGGAAAAAAAAAAAAAAAAAAAGATACAAGTTGTCAGTTCAGAAATCCCATGGTAGAAAAAAAGAGAGAGAGCGAGAGAGAAAATGATACTGTGACTCAGTGAATAGTGCAGAGACAAGTAGCGAGCATCAACATCTGGAGATGAACTGTGACAACCTGCAAGGAAATCAGTGCAGTCAAGTTTAAAATATGTATTGATAGCTGAGCTTTTTACAGCCCCACTCTGTCTCACTCCCCTTCTGCAGGAGGAGAATACTGAGAAACCGTTTTTAACTCTTGAAGTATATATATATATATATATATATATTTAAAAAAAATTATAATAAAAAAAATTTGGCTTTTAAAGATATGAGAGATAATACACAGAATGGACAACAATCTTCTTGCACTTGTTTTCAGAAGAAAACATCTAACTTTCATTGGATAAGCAAAAATAATTAAATGTATTTGTATTAGCAATATCTCCAACACAGAACGCAAAAGGCAACAGTGAAGCAGGGCTCCATTACCCCTTGTGCTACTTTACATGTTCTCTTTAAGATCACTACGCTTCACTCAGAATGAGTAATGAGTCTAGGAGAGGCCAGGGAAGCCAGAGGAGCTGAGGCTGAGGAAGCAGAGGTAAACATTGTGCATCTTTAAAACCATGGAATGAACAGCAAACGGTTCGATTAAATAATAGTGCACAGATCAAATGAGCCTGTCAGGACTCAGTGATTGTAACAGCAACACAAAGGATATAGATAACATCAACAAAGAAAAACAACACTCCTGCATAGAGTTAATGATACACTTCAACAGTGGCAATAGAATCTTGAGAAGGAAATAATTCCATTCTTCCAGGTTCAGGTCTTTCAGTCTGTTGCGTTTCAGCTTTGTAATTGTATTGGAGAGAAAGTCAACGGAGTTACTATCCACAAAGTGAGCTGTATCGACTACTTAACTGGCATAATGGGCAACGCAATGTGGAGTTATTAAGCCTGATTTAGAGTGGATCCCTAAAGGATAAGTGGTCATTTTGATGCGGATGATTCTACACAAAAGCATACAGTTTGCTGCCCCTATCTGATTAGGGCCTGCCTCGGCCGGGCTGAATCGGCCATTCAGGCCTCATCTTAAGATTCTTCCTCGCTGCTTTATGTCTGAACCTCCTCCGCCGAGCAGCAGCTCTGTAGAGAATGTGTGCTCAAAGTGGCTGAGTGCTGGTCTTGGATCTTAGAAGCTTGTAAATTATCATCTCATTCTAAAACATGGCTGCTTTTTGTGGGTGCGCTCCTTTTGTCTGCCAGATTTGCCTCCATGCATAATGATACACGGACAAGTGGCAGGAATCGCAAAGCAGAGCAACATACATTTTAGCGCTCCACTGCTTCATTTTTTTGTCTTTCAAACACTAAGCAATCTCCTCGACTGCCCCCTCCCACCCCCTCCTTTTCCTACAGGATGCTGTCTTCGTCTCTCGTTTAGGCTCTGTGCTGCCTGCATCAGTCTGACTTTCATTTACTCTTTCTCCCTTCGCTCCTGGGGTGTACTGCAGTCGTCTTCTTTTCCTTTTCCTGGATCTAACCTTATCTAAGCACCAATGCCCCCAGCGTCTGCGTTATTCTGGGCCGCAACAGCAACTGAGGCCTCCCCATCAGCTATTTTAGCCCCTCTGATGACCGCTGGCTCGGCTTCTTCTATGGGTTCGACAAAGAGGGGAGCGCTTTCCTCAGACGGAGCCGACTCGCCCCTATCGGTCCGTTCCAGCTTGCGGTGCTTGCGCGGCTCCGGGGGCGTGTCCTCCTGGGTGAAGACGGCGCGAATTCGCTCCACGCAGATATTGGCAGCTTCCCTGGTCTCCCTGGAGAGCTGCGATAGGCTGAGGAAGCCGTGGGGAAGGTCGTCCACCACGCACAGAGTGACGGGCTGCTGAATGTTCCTCAAACGCTTGGCAAACATCACCGAATCATCCAGCATGGGGTCTAAAGCACAAGCCTGAGAGGGGAAGAAAAGAAGCAAAGGACGGAAAGGGGCGGAGTGGTGAAAAGCAATTTCAAATTCCCTTCAGACAGGTCGGGAATCTTAATTAAAGGATGAGGAATGGGAAGCCAAGAATTCCATTTGTCCCCGCTTTCTTTCTACACTTGCTGACTCATCGAAGCCACTTAAGAATCAGCGGTAGTTTCTTCCTTTTCAAACAACAACCACCTAAAAAGAGCACCTAATTTAAACCCAAAACTCACAGAGCTCCGAGTGTTCTTTTTCTTTCCAACCCACTTAAAACGTTAAGGGGGATTTTGTAGTGCAATAAAAAAAAACAGCAGCTCTCTTACCACTATGTGCACTGGTGGCAGCCCTCTCAGCATGTTGTCAGGGGCCAGCAGAGGTGAGCAGAAAGGATCTTTCACCACCGGAGAGCTCTCCACCTTCATCTCAGCCAGCTGCTCGGAGCGTAGCGGCTCAAAGCCCAGCGGAAACTCTCGGGGGTGCCCCAGCTCTGACCCCTCCTCCCCAGCAGGGGGGGGTATGGCCACAGAGGACAGGTCATGGGTGAAGGAGGGATCCACGTCCTTGGAGAGGAAGAAACTCACATCTTCTAGCTGAAAGTGAGAAAGGATGAGAACATTTCCATATTGGATGAGACAGCATGAAGAAGTCGAAGCCAAGCGATGTTTTTACGAGACTATCCAAGTTTCAAGGGCGAAAGCATTTTTACTATCTTGGCCAGGCACTGATCCAATCTGTGACAGAAAACATCTTAAAGTTATCGGCTATGAGAAGCTAGACTCAGAACAAACATGGCTTACAGTGCGGTCAGAGATCAGCGGTGCACTTTGGGAGATGGCGCTGTTGTGGGATCCCAAGTCTTGACAAGTCTTGCTCTTGGTAGACAGTTTCCTGCTGGGGAACTCTGCTGGCTCGGTGGGCACAGGCGGGTCAGCGTGAGGAGAAGAGAGCGTTGCCTCGGAAATGCTTTTTCTCACCGTTTCTAGAAGAAAAAAAAAAGAAAAAGGAATTTGATGATGGTAAAAATAAAAACAATCGAGACTAAAATCCAGACCTTTGCTAAAAAAAAAAAAACCCTAAAAAAAAAACTGTATTGCCTTTTAAAGGTCAGGCTGTGGCAGCGGTTCATCCGGGCTAAATGTCAGCTGAAGAACGTATTAAAAACAGAAAAGTCATTCTCTTTTTTCTGCTTGACAGCCGGCAGTTACAAGCCCAAAATAAAACTTGAGATAAATCAGGAAGAAGGCGGCGTAGGTGGAGGAAATTCAAAAAGTGCAATCTTGGTGATATCTGCGTGCCCTCAGCTTTCACAACACCACTGTAAGCATCATCATGACTGGTCTCCTTACAAAGCACTACCGAGCATCTACCTTTTTAATAATGCCCGATCTCGTCACCATAATAATACAGACCCACCTCTGGCTCTCGTTCGATTGGGTGTCACCTGACAAAGGGGACAGCAAGGGAATTACGGTCACCTTTCAGTAATTCAACAATTACTGTCCAGGCCTGGCTGCTCCATAGAGGAGCTGATACAAATGGGCTAGAGCAGTATTATGTAGCAGAGTGGGATAAGGCAATAATTGAGCGTTCCTTCAGTTTGATGCTGAAGGAATGGGATCCGCATCAGTAGCCTCCTACATATGAGCTGTAAACGAACTGTGACAGGCTGACAGTGGAGAAACAATACCTAAATAAGCTTAATGAACACTCTAAAAGCGCAGGAGGTGAACAGTACACACACACACACACACACATAGTCTAAGCCAAATGCCAACTTCAAACCACAACTCAAATTAAGCTGAACTCCAATTTTCACCCAACCCCAATTCAAACCTCCAGTCCTAACCGGCACCTCGGGGATGGAGTCTGCCTCATTAGTGCAAGGCTCTGGTTCCCGTTGGGACCACTTGTCCCCAGAAGGTTAGTGCTTATGCCAGAAAACATCCCGAAGAGGAACCAAAAACAAGTCCTCAAAAACAAATACCTGAGCTGAACTCTGCACAGAGACGTGATCAAAGGCACAAACAGACTGCGTCTATGGAAAACTTTAAACATAACAGCAAGCCCCACACTTTCAAACCACCTAGTCTCTAATGTTCCTCATTACCACACACACAAAACACAAACACTCACACACACCCACCAGTTGCAGGTGTATCGGTGGCTCCTGATGGTTCCTCTGCAGCTGTACTTGGGGAGGCTGAGGCTCTGCTGGCATCCAGCAGGGAGTGGATCCAGTTGGAGGCTCCCTGTCGGAAATCTCGCAGCAGCAGGGCGGTATCTCTCCTCACCAGACTCAGCGTGCTCACTTTCTCTACCTGCCTCTCAGTCTGCGGCTCATTGCCTGGAGGAGGAGGAGGAGGAGACGCATAAAGACAGGGAAAAGATGACAGAAGAAAGGATTTTTTTCCCCCATTGAGCACAAATGGGTAGCAACGGCGACGATGTCAAAACAATAAGTTTAGTGAAGTCCCATCTATATAAAGCCAAATAATAATTAATGTCAAGCCACACATAATGAAATTCACAGTGATACAATCTTAATCCACATATCTATGTTCTATACCTGCCTCATCCAGCTATTTCTGGGAACAGGCAGGGGACACTATGGACCACAGGACCACACTCATAATCACTCTGAAAGTCCATTTACAGACATCAATTAAAACACGAGTGCCTGGAGCGAATCCACATACAGATGGTGCCAACCACACCAACATCCTGCAGTCCCAAACACAATCATAAGTTTAATTAAATCAAATCAAAATGAGTCTAATTCCGACTCACAGAAAATCTGCTTGTTAAGGAAACAGATTGCATTCAAACTACTGCAATTCAATCAACTATCCTGACCACATCTGTTTAAAAAGTCCCAGTCAGGGGAGGTTTATTTCTGTTACATAGACAGCAATAAACAGTGCAGTGGGAAGGAAAAGAAAATGGTATGAGTCAGTTATCAAGTGGAGACAGCACAGGCAGTATCTGAGTATTGCACAGTCCTCCTCTTTAAAACAATGACTTTTAAAAAGACACAACAAAGATTACCCAATCTTACCCAGTGTTAATGACAACACATGAAAGAGTATCTCTGTGCCACCAAACTAAGCTACTAGAGATAAGTATATCTGAAAGACGCAAGACTAAGTCACAAAGGAAGAACTGTTTTAGGAAACGATCTGGTTTATTACTCATCACGAAGACAGTTTTAGCCCTGTATGACAACTAGATTATTTTGTTTACAGTACACATTGTGGAAAAGATAATGAATTGAAGAAACTATTCGATGCAAGAGAAGACGACAGTTTTGTGATTAATGATACTTTCCCCTAATAACAAGAGAGGTACAATGCAGAAATGAGACAATTATCTGACTAGAATACAGAAGTATCAGCTTAATTAAGCTCACACTTCAATTAAATCATATAAATTGATATTAGAAACAATTGTCCCGGGCTCAGAAAGAAAACAGCTTAATCTAATAATCATCTATCGCAGAGAAATCGCTGGCCTCAGCATAATTACTTGAAGGCAGGCTTAAAAGCGGGAAAAATTAGGAAAACATATCTAAAGCCAATTCTGAATTTGCTTAAAAAGAAAAGGATAAAAGAAAAATAAGCCCTGATAGATGCCTTAATTTATTATTTTCTTTAAACACCCACCACCTACCTGCGTAGGCACTGAGACACTTGGAGAGCACGCTGAGTGGCAGCAGGGGATCCATGAGGGTGAGCAGACGGGAGGGCGACGCGTAGGCCGTCAGCAGGGTGGCTGGATAGGCTGCCACAATGCCATCTGGCATCCGCACACCAAAGGCTGCAGCGCGCATTGAAGTCGTCACACATAAGTTGCCCCCCGCGCTGTCACCGGCCAAACACACTTTCTCTCCGGTCCATCCTGGATTGATAGCAATATAACATTAATGAGGTGTGAAATGAAAGAGAACCAAACCCAAAATAAAAACATATTCCTCTTCTTCTCTCTCTTCACAAATCCATAATATGTGACTGCCATAAAAGGATGCCGTCTTACTGTGTGGACGAAAAAGAAATATGGTCTTCTTGCACAACGTTATTGCACTGCAATCACACTTATTTGACACAGTTTGCTTCAGCTGTCAGATGCACCATAACCCAAGCGGACGTGTTCTGTTTTCCGTCTCAGTTCTCAGTGTCGCCATTTGTGAGATTTTGCAGATCAGCGAGTACAAGCAGCCTACTGTGCAGTCCATTTCCAAGTGATGAATGGGTCCATGTAACAGATCCAAGCAAGCGGTGGACACAGAAGCATTCCGCAGACACACTTAGACCGATGCATTTGAAGGCAACTCATAACTTTTCCCCGAGCTGTCTAAATTACATCTTTACCGATACATACAAAGAATGCTTAGTATTTTCTAACCTTTTTATCTCTGAAATGTTTTCATGACGATTCCATTCAAAAACCTGCACTTCTGTCAATCAAAGGCCCCAAAAATACAGACAAGGCTTGAGGTGATCTGATAGGTAAAAGTCAGCGCTTCAGCCTCGAACGGCTTTACTGATACAGAGAATTTCCTTCAAAAACCTTTTCGTCATATTCTTTCCCTCATTTCCTGCAAGTAGTCCTGCCTCTTAAAAGTAACCTCCACTGATTTCTGCCCTGTAGTTGACAGAGGGGGTTGAGCCATTTCTAAAGCAAAGCTCATTTCTTGCTGGAGAAGAAAAAAAGCCAACTTGAACGAGATTTGCGTTCATGAAAGTGGATAATTTAGGCCCTCGCAGTCTAAAGTGCCTCTTATAGAGGAATGCCTTCAGTCTGGTGTAACATTTAGGCCTGATTGACTGGTGGAGAGAGGAACAAATCTTTGGTTCATCTACCCTGGATCTCACTCATAGCGACATTTGAGTTCTTGGTTACATATCTGATCATCGTTATTCGACCCAGTTTTCCTCAAGTCAGACTTTATCATTGGCAAGTTGCCACAGAAATATTCTTGCATCCTATCCAATTTCTACCTCATAGCTTGGTTTTTACTTGAAAATGACGCTTCATGTAAACAAGAGAATGGACCCTTCTTATTAGGTTCAGAAAATGAAATCAGCGCACAATCTAGTAGCAGAGGCATGTTAAGGTTTACTGTTACAATAATCACGATTCATTAAAAAAAAAAAATCAGCTGTGTGTATTTTAACAAAGAGTTTGAAAATTATCTGAAATATCCCATTACCTTCTTCCAATTTAATGTTTTATTGATTTTTGTCACTGTGAAGTATCACATATAGACATAAGAAAAACTAAAAAGAGAAAATATTTTCAAAAAGGCTAAAAATATACTGTGTGTAGATAACCATACTTAAATTCCTTACAGATGTACACAATAAACATGGTAAACTAAGAAGTGTCAACCACTGGAACCTGATAGCAGCCTGAGTAGAGACCCCAAGTCAGCTAAGAGATACAGTTCCAGCGAGGCCTGAAGCTGCCCTGAGGCTTCCTGCCGGTCAAACATGTCTGAAAGACCCCCACTGGACGACACTCTGAAACACACTCTGACCTGATGCCCAACCCAACTCATTCTGGCTCCCTTAAAGCAGCGGAGGAGCATGTGAACACCATCTGTAAATCGAACATGAAGAAGCTGCTCGACTGCCCCCGAGTGTAGTCGCCAAAATCCTGTTTTGGTTTCTTGTCTTTGTGAAGCAATTCTTAAATCTCATATTGAACTCCTGAAGAGATTTGAATAATGATAGTAGATGATAAATGCAGTTGTATCCAACTAGATCTACATCCAACCTACAATTAGATCTACATCTTCAAGACTTAAAGAACCAAGTAATGCATCACATGAGTACCTAGGAGGTGGTGGTTTCTTAAAGCCCAACAGTAGGCGTAGAAACACTCCTCCAGTGCCCGAGGGAAGGGGGCTTCAGGGGCCAGAGAGTAATCCACCGACAGGATGGGGACACCAAGATCCTGGGACCAACTCTTCAGATAGGGCTGCATCACAAGATGAAGACAGGGGGGGTTATGACACAGTGAAAGGAAAATAAAAACTACTGAACATGGCTAATATCTTGAGGACAAAGAGCGGTGTCCACCATAAAACAGAGAAAAAGACAAGGATGAAGAAGCTGTGAGTGCTGTGTGCCCCTCTGGTGTTTCTGGCTTAGTGTGAAGGCAGAAGGAGAATAAGAGCCTTCCGTGCACACCTCCATTTCTTTTCTCTTCACACAGCTTCAACAAAAGGCGCCCACATGTCCTACTTTGCATGGAATGAACAAAAAAGTTTTGATGATGTATAATTATGGGCTGTAAAGTAACTGGGTGGTCTGATGAAGTGTTTATGGCATTCATGGAGTCACCTTGAGATGTCAGAAAGGCACTCAAACCTGTTTTGACAAAACTCTTTCTTTCTATGTTGCTAAAGCTTTCTGACTTGTTGTGATGGCAGGCTGGTGATGAAAACCTTATTTCACAGTGCATATGTTGGTGGCCTGAAATACCAGGAATTCAGATGAATTCTTTTTTTCTTTTTAAAAAAAGACATGAAATGGCAGAGGGCTGTGGTTTCCGTCAGCCCTTCCCATCGCAGTAAGGTTTGGATCGAGTGGGAACGCCGGCCACTCCTGGAAGTCAACAATAAGTGTCAACACTGCTCTGAATCTTCGGACAGGTCTGTAAGACAGCTCGTCTTCTGCCTGCATTAAAGCAGGGAAGCAGCCACAACAAATGGCCTGATGGGCAGAGAGGAAGTGCGTTTGCATTTTTGTTGAGCTCGGCTGTTACATTTTACATGACCCTGAAAACCCCCCACATAAACATTTCTATTCTACCAAAAAAAACAAAAACCAACCACATGAATACACAGCCAAATAAGGAATTAGAGTGGCTGTTCTACGCATTTTCAGGCAGGCATAGCTGTTAAAATGCAATGCCTCACCTCCATTACCCAACATTTTATCACTGCCCCAAGGTGCTACATTCACAGATGCCATTACATCCATTTTGATGACAGCCTCACGGTGCAGAGACCTCCACAGGCTCCTGCAACTGTCCAGAAGGGTCCCCAAAATTCTGAGGGCGATGAGTGTGTGGTATCAAAATGTGACAAAGAGGAGATGTGAAACAGGACAGCGAGTGAAGAAAAAGGAGATCGTGAGCTATTAGCAGGGTTGTGAGATAAAAAGGACAGGACTGAGGAGTAAAGAAGGACAGTCTGACAAGTCCTCCCAAACTGCCTGGGGTAATCTTTCTTCATGGGGTTGAACAGTTCTCCGTTAATTCAACATGACAGGCTTCCTCACCTCTGTGATCACCCCCTCACATCCTCAAGTTCCTACGCAGCTGCAGATCAACGATACCCACATCCTTCAGTTTTAGACAGTTACAAGTAGCTAAAGACTGCAGGTGGCTGCAGACGACAACCTGAACAAAACAATGTACTAACGTGCACACTGAGCTGAGCATGCAGTCATAATGCTACTGTTTTAAATATATTATCCTTTGGTGATAAAGTATCTTCTCCTGCTTTAAGATTTTAGAAAACTAATGCATGTGAAATGGATAGTCGTGTCCAGAATTTTGACTAGCCCTGCAGAAATTAAAAGCAGAACAAAGATTTAATCTTCAGTAGGGGAAAAAAAGGAGGGGGTTGAGGTTAGGATGAAGTCAATGACAGGACACAGCAACACACTTGACAGACAAGGGGAAAGCTTTTTATACGCTGTGCTGATAAAGAAAAACATGCAGTCTGGTCAAAGCATCTCGATCAAGTTTTTGAGGAATAATTACAAACATAATTAGCTTAAGCGGCTCATTAGAAGCCAAACTACTGATGAGAAGAGGCAGGATAGTCACCCCTGTGGCCTCTCTGCTGTCAGCTAGTGCGTGTCTCACCAAGACTTTAATTATCTCAGGTACAGTAACGATACGGGAAAACACGACCGAAACACATGACAGCGCGAGCAGCTGAATGACAGTTTTGGATGATTAGAATTAGAATTTACACCCAACATCACGTTTTCCTGCATTTTAAAACAGCTGCTGCATTAGGAAAAAATAAATAAATACTACTAAGATCAATACCTTTATAAAGTGTGTTAAGATACCAGATTATATAAAAACCAAGAAGGATTGTTTATTGACTTAACTGAAAATATGAGTAGGGACAGTTTCAGTAGCAGTCAGAGGGACTTTTTGAAAATTTGGTTAGATCCTGAAGTACTCCCTCACCTCGTGGGACTTTGAGGTCTGAGCGACAAAGCCTCCGCCATGGAAGTGGATCAGGAGGCAGGGAGAAGAGGGGAGACGCTTGGTCTTCATTCCCAGGGACAGAGAGATGGCTCCCCCCTCAGAGCGGGAGAGAGACAGCAGAGTTTCACTGTCCTGAAGAAAGAGCAAGACTGGCATTAGAAGCATAAGGACGCCAGAAAAATACAACAGCAAAAACTATTTCACTCCATTACTAAAGTCTAAAATTAAAATATGTTCGCCTCACTACATTGAGCTCTATGTAAGCTTACAAAGCACATCTTAATTTCATTGTTAGTATATTTAATTTGTGGTGTTAGCCACAGGGCTCCTCTGAGAACTGGATCAACTAGCTGTTGCCAACTCCTCCTGGCTGCATGAGAAAAGCAGCAATCCCACTCACTGACTAAGACCAGGAGCATGGACCTCTGCTTTTGATGGTGAAAACAAAGGAGATTCTGTCGTTTTGTCAGAAGAAAACCAGCCATTAACGAACCACTATGGTGGTTAAAGAAGCATTAAATGTAATAAACCAGGACACATGATGAATACTTTCATCATGAAGAAATTCTTTGAACACAAGTGGGTTGTACTCAGACTATAATGGCCGGTGTGCTTTTGCATTAAATTTGACTTTTTATTGAATTTCAAAGTAAGCCACAACACATGCACGTGAGTTTAATACTAATTTGAGCACCTGTCCTTCACGCAAGTCATACGAGATGAGTCTCATCTGAACCGGAGCGCTGCCGATGTGCGCTGATGGAGGAGCTATTGTTACAGAGGCGGTGTGGTTGGCAGCCAGAGGGAGGTCAAAGGGCACTGCGGGCACCGAGAGAGCTCTGTTCACTTTAACTTGAGTAGATGTCATACTGGCAAGACTCTGGAGGCAAGAAAAAAAACAGACAGATATAAAAAAGAGAAAGCACAAGTTCAAGAGATAGGCCGGCCACTGGAGAGAAGAGAAACTGGATGAATAAATCATAAACCCCTCTGAATAAATTGAATTCCATTCTATTATTACTAATGGCCTGTAGGCCAAACTGTATGAAGACAGAGAGGGACATTTACAAGAGGAAGGCTACAGAATGAAAGACGATGACGGAGCTCCAAAAACCTACTCACCGACAGGACCTCAGTTTCAGTGATGTTCCAGAACGATTTCCAGAAATGGACATCAAGATTCTGGGTGATGCGTTCAAATTCTCTCCCTCTCAACTCTGGGTCAATGGCGTACTTCCCCGAAGTGAAGAAAGAGCTGGCTGCCACACCTGGGGAGGGCAGAAGGGAGGGCATGACGAGCGGGAAATGTAACAGAGGGGACCCGACGTGGTCCCAGTAAAGATGAAACAAATTATTCATCATAGTGGCGGTAATAAAAAAAATTAAATAATAAGAATGGTAAGCTGAATGAAAATTAAGATATGGCAAACAAAATAAATGAGTAAAGAAAGAAATGAACAATGACAACAATGGGGGTGGGGTGGGGTTGGCTAAAACACAGCAAAGTCCAGCAGTCTGAGGGTCAACTATGCCTTTTGGTTTTAGCAGCACTAGATTTCTTGCGATGGAGACATATCTCTAAAGTGCTAGTGCCATCTTACACAAAAAGAATTGGAAATGGTTATAATTCTACACCGTTTACGGTTTTAAGTTTATTGTTCATTTTGGAGTCAAAGAAATCTGCAAACTAAAATACACACACGATTAACCTGATAACAAACAACCTAATCTTTTTTCTTTACTTTTTAAAAAAAAAAAGTACTGTCATATAGTTTAAAACAGGGTACAAAAATTTGGATCAGAAGTTCCAGGACACTCACCATAGGGTGCAATACCTCCTGTGTCCACTGTGGTGCAGCACAGAGCACAAGAAACCATGAGATTGGGATGATTTCTTTTTCAATGTTAAATATTTATGTTTGTATGTATGTGTGTGTGTGTGTGTGTGTGTGAGAGAGAGAGAAAGAGATGGTGTGTATACAGTACTACTACTTCTATCTCTGCCTAGATACATAACTGCGTGTGCGTGTTCAAAACATTCTGAAATATACAAGAGGCACACCAGTTTGCCCTTGAGACTGCAAAAGATGAAAGAGCATCGACAATCCAAACACAAAACATCAAAAAGGTACACAGTCAGGGGCCAAGGAGCAACATGGAACGATCTGTGAATGAGAAACATGTGGCTTGATGCGAGAGGGCGCAGCGGCTGATGAGATGATGCTGACCTATTCCTGACTGATGGCGCCGGTAGTTTTCTCCAAAGGCCACGAGACCAATAGCGATGGTCTGAAGACAGGGTCGAATGGCTGGAGTGAACTGGAGAGAGATGGATGGGGAGCAGAGAGACAGCCTGAAATTACAATCTACTGTCTGTGGTAGAGTTTAAAAAGAAAAACTGACCGTGAGTAAAACTGAATCATTCAAGCAGAAAGTGAAACATAGATGAGCGGGTTTCGCAGTATCAGAGTAGAAGATTTATAAATTAATAAAGTGAGTTTTCATCAGTTCTGCCCCCCCCCCCCGCCCTCTAGTTTGCTTTTTGGCCTCTGCCCACTGAGGATTTGGTGCATTTCAATCAGCTCGCCTGAGAACAGTGGGAATAGCTCCATCGCTCTTTCCTCCTCTCTCAGGCTCGGGCAGAATTAATCTGTACCTCGGCACCACTTTCCTGGTTTCAAAACATTTTCACAGTAGGCTGCAAAAAATTCTGACCTTTATCAAAATTGCAAAGATGTGTGCACCGAGTTTCTGAAAACTAATGAGCGGACGGTTGCTTTTCATGACTTCAATTCTTCATTTCTTCCAGTGAAACTTCCACCCAGTTTTACTCAAACTTTTTTTTTTTCTGCTAACCATGCTACCCTCCATTGTCCACCGTTTCCCATTGTTGGTTTTGCTAGGCGACAGGGCTCATCTCACCTGAAAGCCCAGGCAGCGGCCATAGAAGCATCCTTTATGCATGGAGGAGTATTCCCGGACAAAACTCTCGCTCAGTCCGCTTTCGTCCTGGAAGAACAGGTTGCCGTGGCGGTTGTCGTGCAGCATGCGCTGGGCCAGGTAGAGCAGGGCGCGCAGCTGGCACAGCGCGTTGCAGTAGGCCTCCATCTCGCCGGCGTTGTGCGCTGCTCGGAAGAAGATGCTGCGACGATTGGTGGTGATGTAGCGGCCCTTGTGGATGATGTGCAGGAGGCAGCAGCGCACCACCTGGAAGCAGCATGGGGAGAGGGACATGCCTTATAGAACAACTAATGACACGAGGAGAAGCTTTGAGGCCATAAAGAAACACAAAAGGGTTCACTTGTGAACTCAAAAGGAGTCTTTTTCACCGAATTCACGATGTCGAAAAAGAGTGCTAACTAAGCAACTGGCGCTGGTTTAAGGGTGCTCCCATTAAAGAGGCCCGTCTTCTGGGAGCGGTTCAGTCGTAATTAAGATTAGCATGGTAGGCTTACAGGAAGAAAGGGATGTGTTGTGGTACGCCTAAATGTGAGCATGTTAAAAAAGCGCTTCACCAGGGTGTTACAGATTAGCGAGAGCAGTACAGCGGGGATAAGAGGGATTATAAGTGTGGAAATCGAGAGGCTACAAATCAGAGGCTGGACTCTAAGCCAGCTACTCGTTCACTGCTCAACCCAATTGCCAGCGGTGGGCCGCATTGACTGCAGGTCATTTCATCAATCAGTGTAAAAAAGTTTTTTTTACAGTAGTGGTGGTTAACTGCAGCTCCAGGGTTTATCTAGCCCAACTGGCAACATAAAAATTAATCTTTGAGTTCATGTAGTGACCTTGAAACAAAACAAAATCGAGTCAAAGAGGTGCTGCTCCGTAGTTTCTCACAACAAGAGAGATTATTGACAACAGTGTATTGATTTAAAAAAAAAAAAAAATGTTTTAGTACTCCAAGCAGCGCTGGGGTTTAAATGAAAACATGAATGAGGGCCGACTGAAGCGAGCACAGAAGGAAGAAGGCCTCAAAGGCCCCACTGCTTACCTTGACTAGTGAGCGGTAGCCATTAGCAGGTATGTGTGGGTCAAAGTCAAAATGATGATAAACGGCAGCAAAGCCAGAGATGACGGGCTCCAGACTGCGAGCGTGCTCCTCGATGAGATTCATGGTCTCCACCAGCCGGCGGGCGGCGTCAGCCTGTGACCCCTTGGCCCCGGCCGAGAAGAAGGCGACATTCTCTTCACACACGCTGTACAGGGCCGCAAACACCGCCTTTGTGTCCATCACTGCGGGCGGTGAAGCACAGAGAGGAGAGCAGAGGATGAACCCGTCTGTGCAGAACAGTGTGTGCGGACAGCCCGTAGTTCAGGAGGTTGCTGGTTTCATCCCAACATCTTTGACTAATACCTTATCGTGTCCTTGGACGAGATACCGAACCCCACAGCCCTCTAATGTACTCCTTACTTACAAGTTAGTTTTAATAAAGCATCTTATGAACAAATGTGAGATAAATATTGCATTAGTATTCTATTGATGCCATTAAATATATTTCTGTTCACTTTTTTTATACACACACACATATATACATATATATATATATATGGCAAGCTTGTACTTTGTAAGTCAACACTCTGGACTCACTCTGATATTAATTACAACAGTTTTCTAATTCCATATGGATATCACTTTACAGAATGAGAAAAAAGAAAAAGAAAAAATCAGGATTTCACAGCCAAAGCCATAACAAACATGGACTGAACACATTACCTGTAGGACTGGATACATACCCACTGGATACATCCAACAAAACACTCTTAGTCCCACCAACTAATCCCCCATAGCTTGTCGAACGGCGACTCGCCGATTTAAACGTGTTAAGCAAGCCTTGAAATTAAAAGATGTAAAAAACAAAACAAAAAGGGGCATGGTTACATGCAAGGAACAGGAGGAGGCAGAAGCTGTCTGATAACATCATGCTGCTGGGAACAAACAGATCACTCTGAAAGTGAGAAAAACACACACACACATTCACATTAGAGTCCCAAAGGGAGTTCTACAGCCGACAAAACACGGCCAAGAATGTTTACCAAGTGTGCTCATATCTCTGCCCAAATGTTGAATAAATATCCAGCACCGTGTCCCCGTTGGGCTCCCTGTGCTCCTCTTCTCAGTCATCTGAGAGCTCAGTTTCCATAACAAGCTCAGGGAACGAGCTGGTACTTACTGTACAGGGTGACTGGCATGCTGAGAGAAGGCAGAGCGATAGGTACGCGGAGGGGCCAAAGGAGAGGATTTAACACAACAGAGGACGTGAGATAAAAACACAAATGTAACCTTGTCTTTAATGATATTTTACATGTGTTCAACCATCCCTGTTAAATCGGTCCACTGCCTTCATCCAGAATTTGCACAAAGTTTTACTGCCCCGAGGCAACATAGCGACACCTTTATTTCAAGAAGAAATAGTTCCACACATTTAAAACATGGACATCCAAAAAGAACAGCTGGGATGTGGATCAAAGCTGCTGCCTTTGAACGGCAAAAAAGTGAAACAATACTTGTGGAGTGAAATATTATCGAGTGGGTCAATGAAATAATAGCACCCTAATCGCACAATGATTAGACTTTTCGCTGCCACTCAGGGTGAGTAATAGAAGGGGCTATTTCAATGAGCTGGGAGGAAATCATATCCCCCGACATCTGCAGGGAGGCATTCATCAGCCAGACATCTTCCTAGAAGCACACACAGCACATGAAAAATCCCTTTCACTACCGTCCTTCTGCTCCTTTTCTGTAGCAGCATTTAGCTCCGATGCTGAAAGTGCCCCAGTATAGTGGAAAAGACGGCCCATCTGATGGGCAACGGTCCCAGACAGGACCCAGAACACCCGCAACAGCAGCCACTGAGATTAAACCAACGGTAGATTAAACTGAGGAAAACATGTTCTGAAGAGAGTTAAGGGGTCAGCAAACACAGACTTTTAGATCTCGGGGTCATCAGTCCTCTGGTTAACTGGTCAATATCTTGTTTATTTGAGCCAAACATGAGCAGAGAAATAAATGGTCCTTTGACTGGTTGCTTTAATGACATGTTACTCGCTTTTCCACCCTTATCTCCTGACAGCAGACGTCAGTCAGACTTTTAGATGCCTTTCCCACCAGCAGGCCTGTGTGCGAGAGCACTGCAGGCTCACTGAGCAGCAGCTGAGTGCCAGAGGACAGGAACGGGGAGGAGAGGAACAACAGGTCCAGGAGAGGACATGAAAAGTCCACACCGAAAGCCCTGGCCGGGATTTCTTCATTTGCAAGGCAAAGGTCTGCTCTCAGTGATTCCTGTGGTTTGCAAAGCACCAAACCGTTGGTACACGAGATTTTGAATAAACCTGTTGCCACTCTGTTGAGAGCATATCTGGAATCAGGGACTATCATAGATCCTTGATCCCAAATATAAGTGCATGCAAAGGCTTTTAGGAAGCGCAGCATTGAAGAGTTAAGAGTTTTTATACCAACACAAAATCCTGAGCAAAGGGGTTAAATAAAAAGCCTGTTTAAGATATACATCACTTGCTTTATTCAAACTACCCATAAAGAGTCCAAGGACATACATAAAGAACTAAATATGTCAAGTTTGTCCTTTAAGCTTATGATCCAATTTCATATCGATTTAAATGCGTCAAAAATTAATTTCAAGCTAACATTGCCTAAACACATGATTTCCAAAGAAAGTCGTGCCAAAACAGACCTGATATTGTGCAATTAAAGTTAACGTCAGCAAATTCTTCCTAGTAAATGTACTTTTCTTTTTTTAACTTTCCACGAGTGCTGCTGCTACGTTCCAGACAGCTTCAGACTGTCACTGCTCAGCTGGACTCCTTTCCTTGGAGAAAAGCATGCAAACTGTGGATGATTCAATAAAGTTTATCTATATTTGGTTTTATTACAAGGATAAACTTTGAGCTTTCTGAACCAGAGCCAAAGGCCTCTGACGAACCCCAGCGCTCACGTGTTCTGGGACGGCTCCACCTCGGGGTTTGGCCCGCAGCCAGAGGATTACACACAGATGTGAACGCTCAGAGTCTGAGAATGCACCAACGCACTGACTTCACGCAGAACTACGCAGCAAACCACGTCACATCAGTCCACCTTCGCCCGGTCACAGCAGCAAAGGGGGGCGACCTGCAGAGACCGGTCCAGTCACACAGAGCCCAAACTGTGGACCCCAACCAAAACATGGGCACACAGCCAAAACAGAAATGACATTGCCTAATTAAAGCTGGGGCACAACGCTCATCAGCGCGAGCCAATAGGCCTGATGTTGACAGAGTAAGCCGGGAATGAACTTTACAAACCCAGATCAACATAAGCTGCTCAGAAACATCCTTAACAACACTGAAGTGGGCAGCCATTACATCCTATCTGACCTCAGCCAGCACATCATATGCAAACGCTACCCAAAAAACACAGTTCGGTGGCTCAGTACCACCTAATCAGGAGCTCGGTCAGACTTCAAAACACGCCGTGGCATAGTTGAGGCAGCATGCTAGTTTGACATGCCGAGGACTAATATAGGTGTCATTACACTTCAGACAGAGGCTGCTCCCACCTACTGCAGTCACGGGAGGAAACGCATGACTCACCTAATGGCCTTCTAACGTCAGACTTCTGAGCAAACGTCCACAGTAGCTTCCAGCAATGTCACAACAGAACGTTATGTTCTCACAATGTCCTTTTGGGTTTTACTAAAACAACTGATCGCTGCACCGCAGCTACTATGTACCTGAGCTCTGCTAATTAAAAATGGATGAGAGACGCCATTAATAAAACATGTACAACATTACAGACAGACGGGGGCCTGTCGGAGCAGCGCCCCAGCAGAGCGTGAAAGAAGCATTTGCATAAAAAGGAAAGAGAAAAATAAAATCTTTTTTTTTTTTTTTTAAAAGACGAGCACACTGAAAAGATTTTTTTAAAAATGAGAAATTTACCAGCTTCTGAGTTCAAGGCTCTGTCCATGTCTGTCTCCTCTCTTCCACGAAAGCATGGAGAAAAAGAGGGTTAGAATGAGAAAGAGCAAAGGAGAGAGGGTGGTAGAGGAGCAAGTGATCAGGTTGTCTAATTGTTGCTCTCTTGACTCCAAAGTTTTACTCTCCTAGTCCCTCCCATACTTTTTCTTTTATATATACATAATATGTGGTAAAACCAAAAACTCTGTCCTGCTTGACCGTCTTCCTGTGACAGCAGACCGTTTCCCCATTGGCTGTTCAGCCTGCAACACCCCGTCACCTTTGACTCAGTTGGCTTAACACAACAGACAGTTGCCTAGAGAGGCAAAAGTTGAAATGTTTTCAATCTGCTTTACTTTATAGCGATAAATGTCAAAAGAATAAATGTGAACAGTCAACAGAAACCTGGCATTTTGTTCAATAGAATATGATCAACATGTAAATAAGAACACAAAATATTTTAGAGCAAACTATCAGGATGCAAAATATCTAGTACTCATGAAAAATCTGGAATAAAAAAATATAATGCCCATAGATTACTTTAAGATTTAACTGTCCTGTATGTAGAACAGCATCAGTGTTTATTGATGCTGAACATTTTCTTGAAGCAGAACTACAGTTTCCCTTATTTCAGAGAAGTGTCCAGCATGTGCCAGCTGTTGGGAAACACCAACAGTCAGGAATGTATTCAGAGCAGGGACGGCCACAGAAAACCTAAGAACAGATGGGGAAAAGGTAATCTGAAGAGCTTTTTTTACTGGGGTAAACATGTCCCCCTGAAAGGACCCTTTGCCTGATTTAATAGCTGACCATTCCGTAACTGGATTAAAGAGAGATGACCTCTCACCCACAGAAGAAAACACATTGAACAAAACAATGCCACTCATGGAAAATGTTGTTCTTTCCTCTCTTTATTTTTGTTCCTAATTTTACCGACTACACCAAAAAAATGCCATCTTCCACTTTTTGCCTGTTTGATACATTAGTAAGAAAATTAATAATTTCATGAGAAGATGACGGGCCATTTTCCCTGCATAGTGGCTTAATGTTGAAAAAAAAAACAATTGCATGGACAGAGCAAACGTATGATACATTCTACTATAACAAGGACAACATCACAGAAAGCTCAAAAGAAGAAGGACACTCTTTAACTGGGGTTTGGTCAAAGTAGTTGGTGCTTTTTAATACATCTTAGAAATCCACTCATGACAGTCCCTTTAAGACCTTTAAGTCCCTTTATTCTTAGCTCATATCCTTTTCAAATGTATGTATGAGTAAAAAGGGGGCACGAGACTGTTTTCTGTTTTGTAAAACTTTAGTAGCTGCCATAGAGACTTTCCTGTTTGCTGGGGAAAAATCTGGTTATTTGGAGCTCTCATTTAAGAGGCAGTTCCTTCCACCCACGCAGCTTAAAGGAGTCACCCTAACTGAGCCACTTCTTACTGGCAGTCTGAGCCAAAGTGTTGAACTTTCTCATCCATAACTCTTCTTTAGACTCTATTAATCATGTAAAACCAGACCTACAAGGTAGAACTAAATCCATATTTAATATACACCCCAGAACAAGACAACACTCCTTGAAGTGGAACTCCCCTTCTGGCACAGTGCCCTAATCTTTCCATGAAAGTCTCAAGATCTGTCACATGGTGAGAATCCAAACCCCAGGGCTCTTCTATGTTTATGTAATTTACCACGCTTTGTGAGATACAGTCTAGTGCATTTTGCTTAAAACAGACTTTAAGTGTTGCATGTGAGGCAGGCATGTTTTAAAAATAGAAATGGAGAAAGAGGAAGAGCCCACTGCTGGGGCTCTGCAGCGTCCCAGAGAGAGTGGATTCACACACTAACAAGGTCAAAGGCAACAACAGGAAACGGTTAACAATGAGGCTGCACACACTGCGACCGCCCCACAGATCTAGGGCTTAGTTCACAGGTGTAAGAGATGACAAATGGGAAGGGGGGAGCATTATAATGCAGATAATCAGATCTTATGAAAACAAAGTGTTGGGAACTTTATGTAACAAGAGAGTAAAACTCCTCTAATCTCATTACAATGGCCTAAACCCATTACAATGGTAAGAGAGGGGGACTTTAGGTAAAATTAGCTAATAAGTGCAAGGACAAAATGAGTGTACAAAGACAAAGGTGAAGATGGTGGTAAAAGGAAGGAACAAATAATGACCTGGTTAGGAAATTATCTTTACATTGATATTAAGAACAATTTTACATGTTAACAGAGCTGATGGGTCATTAAATGCCTCTTACAGCAGACCCACCACAACAAAACATGGATCCCTCCGGTAACCTCCTTTTAGGCTACTCTTGGACTCATAAAGGCAGGACTAATTATTAAGATTAACAGATCTATAGACAGCGATTTACGACAGCAAAGCCCTCTTTCTCATTCATATCAAGCACTCTCAGCTTAATCTCGTTAATCTCGTCCGCTACCCTCCAAGAAAAGTCTGATGTACCTGCTCAGGTGGGTCCTGTCAGTGTCAGCGGGGAACACTATGGGCACAGAACATGAAAGGTTTTCATAAATGTATATAGTCATTTTTTTTAGATGTCAGCTAAAGCGATTTTATGACTACATGCATTCATGTTTTAAACATTGTCGGTCATATTTTGGCTAGGACAAACGGATGCTCTAAACTACAAGCATCTCCGCGACAGGGGGCCTTACTTCCGTCAAGACTTTTACGCGAGCTAAGCACACTTCCTTGGCATCTACGGTTTTTATATAACTCGACATTAAGTAGATCTAATCTGTTGATACAAACCCAGCAGTTGCTATCCAACACAGCTAACCGAGCGGCTAACGAACGCTAGCGGGAGGAGGCAGCGTCTGCATGGGAGAGTTATTACAAGGACAAGTGGCGGGGGGCGAGGTTGACCCACCGCAGAATAACTCACCCACAGGGCCCTCTTTGAATCTGGAAGAGCGTCTTCCATTCAGACCTCTCTCCAATCTGCCGTTCCCCACACCTTTCTTGCTCGACGCCATCTTCGCCGACTCTGTTTACGTACCGCCTCTCATATCTCTCATACATACCTACCTGGTAGCATACAGTTCCCGCCCCTACCAAAAATTTTAACCAATGACTGACTGCGTCACTGTCCAGTAGCCAATCACGTCGCTCATAAACACATGCGTCTGGTTGTACAATTTGGATAAGAATGCAATTCATTCACAAGCCTATAGATCAAAGGGAGATATGATATTCAAACAAGTCTAGAGACTCTGATATTTAAAAAAAGCTTTATTCTTCCATTCAAAGTAATAAAAGATAGCAAACATTTTTATGTCAGCAGGTTATACATATAAAGGTAAAGAAAATACCCTTGTCGTTCAACTTAATGCCCATGCAAATGCAACACACTATTCATTACTCTTCTTTCAATTTCCAGATTTTTTTTTTTCGAGAGCTACAAGAATCTGGAATATTTTGTAAATCCACCTTTTTTTCTTTCGACTCGTTTTTTCATCAACTTTTTATCAACAAAATAAGATACATTTTAACTGGTAAAATTAATACAAGCAATGGAATTAAGCCAAGATTTGAAGTCCTGGCTATGCTCTTCATTAAATGGACTTTCTTGTAAGATAGATTCAATAGCTCTGTTTTAACACCACTTCCTGCAATCTGACTTAAAATGATAAAAATCCCGATGTCAGCTATGTACAATTAGCTTGTGTAAAGCAATAAGCTTGATTTTCACGCTCTACATCCTACACTCTCAGACTAGACACAGCTTTCTCCATTCATTTATGGTTTCTCCAGCTGGATTTCTTCCTTTTCTTCCATCATGTTGCCCACATCTTGGTAAGGACCTTGTGCCATGGAACGTTCAATCTGATCATATGTTGTGCAACAGTCATCAAGATTCAGCCCCTGTTGTATGAAATAAGAAATAAGGATATCAAACTAACATGCAGTATTTGAATGGATTTGTATTCATAAACTATTTTCTGGATGCAAAAAGTGGTATGTTTTCGAAAAGTGTTTCTTGTAGTCATGCCATGGTAAAAAAAAAAACACAAAAAGGTGACTCGTTTTGTGTTCACCTGATATATGTTTTCCTCTTCCTGCTTAATCTTCTTCATCTCCAACCGTTTAAGACTCCTTGACTGTGATGGGATAAACACAAATAGTTCATTTTCTGAGAATTTCCTGTTTCTCATTCACTGAATTCAAAAAGTTATCTGAAAGAATATCAGTTGATTAATGTTTAGCTGACTGAAGTGGTAAAAGTTGATGTACGACTGTCTCACAGGGTTCAGGCATTTCTTGTCAGCTGAGATTAATCAAAACTGAACTACTTTGATGTTTGCATAATACTTTCTGACCTTGAATAGAAGAGCCATGGATGGCATCATAACACTCAGTAACAGCAAAACGCCTTCAACTGTCAGGATTGTGTTTTTGGTGGCTTCACTGAGGTTTATTGTCTTCTCCAGAGGTCCTAATTATGCAGAGAGGGGTACAGATTGGAAGAAAGAAAATTGAACAAATCAAATGTGAAATTAAAATGAAATACTCTTAAATATTCTGTGTTCTCTTTGTCTGGCATGGATTGACATGTGAGAGAAAATATAGTAAAAAAGAAAAAACCTAGACTTACTCAACAGACTTAAGAGATCTATTACAAGATCATTTTTATATAACTGTTCTATTTTTGCAGAAAAAGTCACAATGTAACATACGATAACATACAATTGAGCCTATTGTTAGCTCAAAGGGTCATGTGTTTGTAAAATAATTAAAGTTATCGCAAACATAATCTAAAAAATTGGGAAGTTTTACCTTTCCACATCTGTCATCCGTGTTTTATAAGACTATTGTGCAAATAATGGCTTTTTGGACTCATATTAGCTTAAAACCTATTAGATCTGGTCTGCTGCTATTTCACTAAACAAATTGGCAACAGTAGGAGCTTTTGATGCAAAGATTAACTGTTTTGCAATATGTATGGTCATTCACATGCTTCTTAGATAGGAAACACACTGGTAGGATTTATGGCTTATGAACTGTAAGCAGTTATTAAGAGCTTTCTCCTCCATACATACACATGAGAGATATTCCTGACTGGCTTGCAATTATAACTCACAACCTTCTATTTATACTTACTGTAGACCTGCAAGTAGGTGCCATGTGTCAGGACTCCGCTGCCTTTATAACGCAGTGAGCACTGGTACAGCCCAGTGTCATTCTCCTGGACGGATTGGAAAGTCAGGATGCCACAAATTATCTCCGTGTATTGGTCTTTCTTCAATTCTTTATTCATGTGCTCCAGCATCGTCATGTTCTGAATGGTATGGGAAACGCTGCGTTTTTCCCAGGTCAAATCAACACCCTCTCCTTTGTAGCAGCATTCAATGGTCGCTTTGTCAGAGACCGCCACCCGCAGAAAGGGCCGGTCTGCCTGTAAAATCACCTCACTCTGAGCAAGATGACCTGTGGAAGAAGCAATTTACAAGCCATGTGTGAATTCTTCTTAAATTCTTAGGTTTTGTTTTTTTGTTTTTTAAACCAGCACACACTTCCTTAATATCAAATAGATTTATGATGAAATGAGCGGTAGACACATTCCATAAATGGCCAAAACCACCAGAGCAAAAATTCATCTCACAGCTCAGACACCTGCTCTGACAGGAAATGTGGTTCACTGAAGCAGAGCTCAAAAGAGCTGAAAAAGTACATCAAGTACATACTGAAATATAGACAATCTTTCGTTTTCTTTAAAACCTAAGAAGACAAGTAACATTTTAACAATGCAATGTAAAATATATGTACTGCATATTTAATTACCGTTTACTTATCTAAATAAGACAAATGTCTCAACTCAATAAAATGGAACATGACTCACCTGCCAAGCTGCAGAAAACAAAGAACACAGATATCCCCATTTCTTTCTTTTCTTTTTTGGAAGCCTTTAAGCCAAGAATGAAGTAGTTCAAGTATCAACACTTTACAGTGATCCGGTCTCTCTGTCTCACTCCGTTGTCTGATGACACACTGCTGTTTTGTATGTCTAAGTCAGGATTTATGCTTGAATGAATTTTGGACTGCCCTAAACGTGTACAAGCATGACATTTAAATATGAATAGAAATTATGTATCATATATCACACACATTTCTTCACAAAGGGTTACTGTTCATGTCTAGATTTTATTCTTCAAATTAAGTCGTCATAGTTTTCTTAATCCTAATTTTTGAACACATTACAATTTCACAAACCTGTAGCAGTAGAAATATCTATTTGTTTTGTTCTATATTAATGACAAACAGGTGTTTCATTACCCAGTTTATTTAAAAAAATTGAAGAATAAAAAAAAAAACAGACCGTACCACAATTGTCCTTAGGCATACATCATTTAAGAGCCCCTCACACAATAAAATACCAAATACACAATATAGTTCTTGCATATTCATAGTTTATAGATAGACAAGATGGAAGAGGCTAGTATGACAAGGAGCAGTGTTTTCGCTTAATGGGCCACTGGCTGGCCGAGTGGGCTCAAATCTCACAGATGTAATGGAGGTGGATACACAAGGATTGAAGTTGTGGCTTAAGTTTAATTAATGTAAAATGACAACAAGAAACCCAACAATCTTGAACCCTTCCAAGTCAGCATCCAGGGATGACATTTTACAGCTTTGTAGCCACATGTCTCTGTGGGGTGGCCTGGGAGAGCCATCAAAACAACCATGATTGAGTTTGACTAAAGAGCCCTTTATGAAGCAAAGAACTTGATGGTCAGAACAAGGCACCACTCTATAAATACCATTTTTTATACATCTTATATAGAATACATGAAAAGCATGAAGGAGATGCCAGTAATGGGCATCAGCCAATGAAGCGTGAAGGCACCACTGGAAAGCGGACCACTCAAGTTTACAACTTTTCTTTTTTTTTTTAAAACCTTACTGAGATGATCTCTTCAAATATATCCCTTAAGTATGCTAAGCAGCCATAACGCAGAGCAGTTTGACACAAAAGGAATTTGTTGTGGTTACAATATTTGCATAATTGTTAAATTCATGCATAGATAATTACAGAGGAGTCCGGTCTCTCTTACCATTACAGCGAATGCATAGTACATCAATACAAAAGCTTCCCCAACCCCTTTCAGAATGTAAAGAGAAAAAAGAAATACAGAACTTCTGGTAAAACTGTGCGGTAAGAAAAAGGTGATTATGCTCAGCAGAGATTACCAAGTTATCTGAAGGCAAGCGTAGCTAAAAAGCAACATGCACCTCCTTTGTCTACTTTTATTCATTCAACCTAACATTTATTTACAATTTCTAAGAGGAAAATCCTTGGGAAAGACGGCAGTTCTCTTCCAAAGCAAACTAATAATCCTGCAACTTGTGGCGCTCAAGTGGCTAAAATGAGCTAACACGACGAGGTTCAGTAGGTCCAGGAGGCAGAATCTGTTGTTGCCGCAGCAACAATGAGAATGCTTATCAGGAAGTGATCATGATTACAGTGCTGGTGAAAGCGACAATGGAATGGGACTACAGTTTTCCTTCCTGCAAAGCTTCTCCTTCCTTTGTAACTTCAACTTGCTTCATTGTCTCGCTGCTTTTTACATTTTTTTTCTTTTTCTTTTTCCTAAAGCACACGGACCAGGTCCCATGTGTTCAACTTAGCACCACAGAGTTTAACAGTGCTCGGTCTCGGGTCCCCTTTGCAGGACTTGTGGCAGTCTTGCAGGCTTTTACAAAAACAGACCTAGAAAACGACTCTTTTGTTCTTTTCTGTTCCATTTGTCTGCACACACTTCATCTTGGCATTGTACATTCTCTGGTGGCCTGACAAATATTTTCATGGACATCCAGTTTCAGCTTTCATTGTGCGTTCCGAACCTCTTTGCCGTCACGTTGCCACATGTGCGGGAGGAGGGAAAAAGCACAGACTGTACTGACGGCCGACCGCTCAGCCCTTTGGGACCTGCAGTTTAACAAAGGAGGCTCATCACCGACAAAACGTCAGCTCCAATGAAGGTTTAACGGGATTTGTTATATCTTTGGTCCTGCGTGCACAGCCTCAGAAACACAGCTGGATTATAATCACAACCAAAGCCTAAGTAAAATAGAAAGGCAGCTCCGTTTTGATACAAATATTGCCACCAGGGAAAAATAGATTTATATGTTTTTTTATAATTCATGTTTGTGGCTACAAAGTATCTAATGTCATATAATACAATCTCTAATCTTGACTCAAGCTCATGTTTTAGATCAGGAGTTGTAAACTCTCTCTGGGGGGTGCTGACACTGCAGAAATGCTCTTCTGTTGCGTACTGGGCCCTCTGTGGGTTGTGTCTGTGTGTGCATGTCTATGTATTACGTCAGCATAGATGGCACAGATCCTAATCTCATGTTTTCTTCACATTCTCTCCGGACAACTCAGTTCAAGCTATCAAAACCAAAACAACGATCTCTAAATCCACTCCTCAGGCCTCCCCCCCCCCCCCCCCCCCCCCCCCCCACACTCTTTCATCATCTTGATCTGCATTACACATACCAGGTTTGACCTCTTCCACTTTCTCCCACTCTTCCACATCAACCTCTGTTTTTGGCCCAGTGTTGTAACAGTATCACTCAGATGAGGCAACCCACTGACCTAACAAGACTCAGAGGAATAAATAAAAGAAGTACATACAAACAAGTCTCCATTAGTAGCAGCATGATTGCCTATAGTGCCACTATGTATAAATGTTCTTTATGAGACCTAATTACAGTAAGAACCCTCCAAACAAACTTAATTAAAAACTTTGTAACACACATACACACACTCTCTTTTTATGCATCTTTTCAATATTGAGGGCTGCTTATATTAAGCCCATCTGATCAAAAACTGACTCAGAGTTTAAATAATAAATTTAGCAAAAACAGTGTGTGTTCAACTTCTTTTGATCACAAAGAAAGTGCATCTCTGTTGTACTTTGGTATAGAATAGAAATAACATAAGATATCAGCAGTAGTTTTTCAATAAAACTTCTAATGCTACATTAACCATTTAAGGCCATTTACTGTACATTTGACTTATTATTGGTATCAATGTAAAATATTTTCCAGCGTGCATTTCACTGGTGTGCGTATGTGTGTTACAGCAGAATGAAATCATTAGATTTTGTTAGGCAGCATCTCTCTCACAGCAAAGGTATTGCTTAATTTCTTTTGGCACCTCTCTGCAAAAACAGCCTCCCACTCAGCAGTAGGATATCCATCTTTTTGTTTTTCTTTTCCTCTTCTTTGTATGCCTTTCTTCCAAGCACACACCCAAACAGACACACACATAAACATGCACACACCTCCCATGTTCCATCACTGAACCACTGCACTGTGAACAAAGCCATTACACTCCTTCGACAGGCAGAAAACTTCCTGCTTGGCTGCAAGCATGTGTGGTACAAAGAAATAATACAGCAAAGGTCCAGGCGAGACGGATGAGGGTTCAGGAATTTCCAGGAAAGCCTCTGAAAGTCACTCAGCCTGAACCAGAACCAGTAAATACCTAAACAGAAGGAAAAGATGGAGGGAAGTGTAAATTAAAGCCCACTGATTGTACAAGAGTATAAAGACGATTACGAACAAATCAACAAATTGTACTTGGGATGAACATTACAGACACTCTCCCCCTTCATCTGAACAACAAAATAAGTTTATAAAAACAGGATCATTTTATACAAAATTGAATGCTTGGGAGGAGCTGATGAAAATGCCAACAGGAAGTCGTTACAAACAAATTGCATTTCGTGGTTTATCAGGGATATATCGATGAAATCACTCCTCTTAAAAGGATTCAAATAGTTGTTTTTCACCTAAAATAAAATCTGAATTGATTTCCTTTACTTTCGGCTTCTTCCAGATTCAGAAAGATGACATCTTTAGTGCCTATTTCAGATAACAAAGTGCGGCTTGCTGCTGCATATCTACATTTTCCTTTTAAAGCAAAAGCCACTTAACCTTTAGCTTTCATATATCTGGCGTAGGAATAAGAATTGAGTGCCAAGCTTAGTGCTCTTACCTCGTGGCCAGCAGGTGGTGTGATGGTGTCTTACTGGAAGTTAGCCCCCTCCAGAGAGAACTCAGAAAGAGCCTCCTGAAGCTTGTGGTGCTCCTCTTCAACAATCTGCAGCAAACAAAATCAATATCACTTTAGGAACTAAGAACAAACTCGCTTACAGACATACGCAATTCAGCCTTCTTATCATCCTCTCTTCATCTCCCTCGCCGCTTCCCTGACACATCCCATCGCAAGTGCTGGACATAATAGCCATTTTTAGAGAAGTCCAATTTCACAAGGCAATTTTCAGCAGTAACAGCAGCGCTTAAATTGTTTTCTATTCTCTTCTCTCTCTTTTGTGCCATTTAGTCCTATTTTGTGCCTTACTTAAGTCATCCTGGCTGAAATGTCCAGGTCCGCTCACTACCCACTCAGCTCCAATCTTTTGTTGTCCAACATCTTCCCCTGCTCCTGTCATGCGGCCTGCTCCCCCCTCTCAATATTCTCCTCAGTCTTCCTCTCTGATCACCTGTAGTCTCTTTAGTTGTTTCTCCAAGCTGTGCAGCTTTCTGCACACTTCCTCCATCCTCTCCTGGGACATCACCAGGGGCGTGCTGATGTTCTGTTCCCCATCTCCTTTTGTCTCTGCCCCTTCTTTTTCACAAGGGACAGTGTTCGCCTCCTCAGCACTTTGCTCTGCGGTCTCACCTTCTTCTGCGAACAGACAGATTTGGTTCAGATGAGTCAAAGTGCCTACACATTCTAATTACAAGGTGAAAATGAGCAAACACATCTCCAAATACTGAGGCTCATAAAGACAGCTGAACACAGGTGTGGAAATGAAACAGAGCTTATTGTCTTTTTATCCCAGGATCATTCAATGACTGCAGTTTGTTTTGTTTTCTTTCACCTGTAGACTGAGTGCTATCCGTCTCTGGATTGGGCACGTCAGACGGCTCGTCTTCATTTTCTTGTTCAGGTCGTGTGTCTTCTGACAGGCTGATGCTGGTGACCAACAGTCTTTTCAGGGACATGACTATGAGAGATGGAGTGGTTGTATTAGGACAAGAAGGCCCCCATGAGGTGAAAAGGCAGAAAGGTGAAGAATTTTTTTAATTATCAAAAGGATTAAAGGAAAGCCCTCATATTCACCGTCATCCAAAGCAGAGTTGGCCAAATTCTCCACATCGCTGTTAGAGTAGCCTATCAAGTCGAAGCCTTTGTCTGACAGGAAATCTATCAGCCTGTGCCTGGGATCTGTAGACTTGTCATCTGTCAACCTTTGCTTTTCTCGATCTACAGATGGAAGCAGAACTCATCTTTGGCTTCATGCCTTCAGAAATGTGGAATTTGATCATAATAAACAATTTATGTGGCTGTAGTCTTACCTGTGCCACTTTTCATGCTTCCATTCTCAGTCAGACTCAACGGGGTACTTAGCCTGATGAGGAAAGAGCAACAGGAGCAATTAGATATTTTTTGAAGTCAGTTGACTTCTGTATGAAAGAAAAAACACTGCAAAATAAATCGTTTTTTTCATACAAGGAGGGACTGAAGGGAGCTACGCCACTTTCAGGAGGCAACGTCAGCCTCATTGGCGCTCCACTCTTCTTCAGATCATCCACTGCTGCCTTTATCACATCAGTCCAGCTGAAAACAAACACAAACGAGGCTGTGGTTGATCATTCCATTGAATCTAAAATTAATTAGTCTGACATTTGGCTTTTTAACACTTACATTTTCATTTCTCCAACCGACTGAGCAACTAATTCATAGATCTGAGCGCCACTGTCCCAAGTAAAAATCACGTAGACAGCCTTTCGATCTGAGAGAGCAGGAAGGAAAAACAGGGTCATCGTGACAAAATGCGCCTCATACTTCTGTGTTTAACTACCGTCGTCTTGTGTGGAGCTAACCTGTTGCCACCTCACGAAGGAAGACCGAGTCCAGCTTAATAATGGGGCTCAGCATCTGCTTGCCCTCCTGCAAGGCAATGTTACTCTTGCTCTGACATTTGAGGACCATCTTGTCGTCCTGCTTCTGTAGGAGCACAAGCATGTCCACGAGCAGCACGCACTGCACATCTGGGGATGAGACGGGGAGCAGAGGGACGAGACGATTTGTCAGCGCCACACAGGCCATTCAGGGCGTTTATTTAGACATTCTTGTTAGTTCTGTTCATTACTAAACACATACTTTATCCATTTTAAATATTTATGGTGGTCACAGCCCAAATTCTTAAAGTCTTGAGTTTCTTTTTTTTTTTTTTACTTGTATTGTGTTGAGGTTTACATGACTGACCTGAACTAAGATTAAATGAGGAGTAAATGTCAGCCAGCTGCAGCACAGCTGGGTTTTTCTATTACAGCGTGTTCAAGGTGCAAATGTCAAAAAGGGAAATGAAATGAGAAGACCTTTACCAAGTCTGCTCAAAATAAACCATCGTTTTTTTTTTACCTTTTGGAAACTTAAAAAAAAGAAAGCTGAAATTTGACTAAGATTTGCACGAGCAAATATTTTCATATTTCCGTGCATAGAAATAAAAAAAGTATTTTTCTCCTACCGATAGCCTTTTCCTTGGTGACTCTCCAGGTGAGTGGACCTTCATAAAGCATCTTTTTCTGAGTCAGGTCAATATTCTGAAAAAACAGGAGGGATTATGAAAAGATACGGAAACACAAATGTTAACACAAAAACTACAGCTGGAGAACTACAGTGTACACAACACAAACTTTGCTGGGAAAAGTACCTTGTATTCTGTATAAAGGTCGTTACTGGGTTTGAGCCCTGACGTGTCCAATTTACGCTGATACTCCTTCAGGGTCTGTGAGCAGAGAAGGAGAATGGAGCGTCAGATTTCCTTTGACCGCTCAACACTGAAGCAGTGTTGGTCGAAAAAGAAGAAGTCTAACAACGAATGCGCTAAATTCCAGTTGGTGCGAAATTACTGCACAACAGTTTACTGAGTGGGGGGCTGTGTGCTTCTTACCAACAGGTTCTCCATCACTTTGACCTCTTCATTGACATGGTTGAGGATCTTTCTGCAACACTCTGCACTCTGCTGGATTCTGTCCTTCTCTAATGAATCCTCTGTGGAAAGACAATACCAAAAAAAAAAAGATGTGAGGAAAGAAAATTCACTCAAAAACTCAAAACAAAACATAAAGCAAAATCCTTCTCTTTTGTCTACTGACACATCTCGACTTCAGTAACTGAAAGGGAATGTTACTTATGAATGAAATTCATAAAAACAGAGGTTTTCCTTCAGTATCAAAATCTTATTTAAATCACTCACCCTGGAAACTTGAGTCCAATCAGAGTTGGCGATGTACCTTTTACACTCTTTACCATATTTGAATGTTTCCCTCATAAGCTTGGCATAAACATGCATTTCCTGACTGTATTTAATAAATATATAAACAAAGAAGCCTGATTTGTCTAACATTAACTTTGTGACCTCATTAACTCCCTACAAGTAAAGAATGTTACAATGTAAACCATGTTGAATAGGAATTAACCACCAGGCATAGAAAACCTGTCACAATGATGGTGGCCCAATGGCACACATAAAGTGAGAAGAAAAATGTAATACACAAGACAAACAGCCCCCCCCATGCACACACCTGTGCTTTTTGCTATGTTCTCCAGCAGCAAGGGATACTTTGTAAGCCTCTGCATCTCTATCGGAATAATGTCCTTGAGCTGCAGCCTGCGGCACTGCGGTTTGCTCTCCGCCTCCTGAGATTGAGACGCACAGACAGACTCAGAATAATATCACTTCTGTGACTTGTAGCATATGTGAGTTTGTCTATGTTTGATTGTGCCTTAAAGCTCTAAGAATTTGTTTCTAAGATTTTAAGTTGGATTCTGATTGTGCAGGTGGTACCAGTATGAAAGAGTTGAAGCGTGGCTCTTTCTTCTGCCTGATCTTTATCTGCTCCAGAGCCCATGACTGGTGACTGCAAAACCGGGCTGTCAGTTTCTGGAACCATTCTCCTTCTGTACCGCCAAACTGAAACACGCACAGACGGTCCGAAAAGTGGAAAATAAGAGAAATGAAGAAACAAGGAAACTGCAAGCAAGCTGATCCAGTCCAAAGGATGAGAATTATGACTGAAAGTTTATTACTAGAAACAGTAAATCAATTACACAATGTAAAATATGTGATAAAACCGTTGAAACAACTCACTCTGTTGAGCACTGTGGTGCTGATGGATTTCACTATGAAATTATCATCCAAACGCAGTTTCTTCAAGCTCTCATAGAAGTTATCTTAGAATAGCAGCCAAAGACAAAAAAAACACTTCAATATACAATGACAAATTACTCTATTTTCCCCATCCGTCCCATCAGTGCCATATCTACACTACCACTGTTTTCAGATGCCTTTTTATAAGCATTAAAATGAGCTTCAAAAAGTTTTGGGAAAAAAACAGTGTAAGCTATAGTCAAGTCTTCCTTAATGATGGGCTATAATAAAGTGTTACATCAATGTGTCCAACTGGAGGGGAACACAAGAAGTGGTTTAAAGTTGCTCTTGATCAACACTTACAGTGCATTTCAATGATTTCATCAAGGTTCGGGAAAATGGCAGCCAGCTCGGTGGTTGTCAGGAGCTCCTCCCTCTCCAGTGGTCTGGAGAAGACCATCTGGAGGACACTCAGCATTCGCACGTGGGCATGCTCTGTTGCAAACAACTCTGGAGGCAAAAATAAATAAATAATTTAAACCAAATTAGAGGAGAGGTCATACAGTGTGAGTAATATCAAACAGATCTGTCACTTAGGGCTCGATTGCAACTTAAATGTCATCCACTGCCTTTTCTGCCCTGCTTCACCTCACCATTTATCACTTCTTGCCTCTTGATCTCCTTCTTGCCGAGGTCTGACAGAGCTTGAGGAGGTGCAAGCTCCCTCCAGTTGGGTGGGTCTTGCTCAAACTCCAGGAGGCGAGGCTCCATCTCCTCCAGCTGTGGGGAGGGGCTGGTTGGGGAGTGGCTCTGGCCTTCAGGAGTTGAAACGGGCCACTCACTACTGATACAGCGGAGAAGAAATGATTTAACAGGGTGACCCAGGGAGCTTCTTCAGGAGAAGGCGCTCACTTTTTTTTTTACAAATAGATGTTTTGGGACAATACTTGCTTTGATACATAATAGACCAAATATCTAGCAGATTAACCACATGTCAATGATATTTTGACACAAATGTAAGAGAAAACATATTAAGTAATAACCTGGCACTGAATACACATCACAGTAATACCATTTAGCAAAATCTGTCTACTGGCTAGCTGCCAGTTAGTCTCATTAGTTACCAACGAAACTAAAAGATTACGCGTTATGTAATTCGTCCATTTTATAAAGTGTTTCTCTAACAATTGTGCGAGCGAAGCTGACTAACAACGGCCTGCCAGTCTCAGTCAAAGAAAATAATAATATTTTCATCCTGTAAAAAAAAAAAAAAGTCACACAGTCATTTCCATTTTAGAGGTTTCATGCAGTGATTTTCTGACCAAAATAGACTGATCCACCGACTCTCTGTACCCAGGAACGGTATCAGTTTGGTGTGATAGCTTTTCTAACATTTATAGCTGCAAAAGTTCCTTCCCTTCTTGCTGAGCATGTGGAGGGCAGCCATATAGTCTACTGCATCACAATCCCAGCACATCAATGTCAGATTGAAGAGGAAAATCCTCTTAAATAATGAAGATAAATAAATATGAATTGGTATAAACTCCACCCATCTGAAAGTTAAAAAGGAATAAATATTTCACAGAAACAAGGCAGACAGTTCATGGTTGCAACCTGCTTCTAACGGCTATCAGCTAAAACTAAGAAATGGTCAAGGTAAAAGCAGGAAAAATATGTGAGCTGCACACGCAGTGTGTGTAATTCTGTTAACCAATTGGAAATACTGTTAGTGAAACACAAACTTTTAAATAAAGCTGAACTCTGCAAGCTTACTCTCAGTCCTTGACAGAGAAAAACTGACCATGATGTTAAGATTTATATTCGACAAACAGCTAATCATTAATAAAGAGGCATTTAAGCCTTACCATTGCGTCAATAATAGCCTAACTAAAAAATCATTCCCCTACAGAGCTAAGAGTCTCAGTAGAAAAGAGAGTGCTGTTTAACTGTTACTCACTCCCTGTTGGTCACAGCACATTAGGAACAGATCCATTTGACCTGTCAGCTGTAAGTCAATTAAACTGTCAGCCTCATTCATTTTACAAGAAAAACTCTTGTGTGTCCCATCCTCTTTAACTGCAACACCACTACACAAAAAGGCTGAAAACTGCATGTTTTATCATTCTTTCTGAATGAGATGGTGACTGCGCTGATCCTGTTTTGCATGTCTGTCCCTGCTGTGCGCCGCTCCAGCCGGAGAGCCATTATGAGAAGGTCTGCCCATCTTACGGATGGAGGTGCTGGGGGCTGAGCGGGGCAGGTGTTGTTGCCGTGGACGAGGGGGGCTGGAGGTCCACGTCACTACGTGAGCGAGACTGTTTGGCCCGGGATGAGCCACGACGCCGAGATGAGTGCCGGTCCACACGGGCGCTCTCACTGCGCCCCACTTTCCTACTAAAGGGAGGGAAGGTGGAATATGTTGGGGGGAGGAGGGAGATGTGGATGAGAAAAGATAGAGGCATGATAAAAGGGGGAAGAAGGAGAGATGTGGCAAAAAGATGCCAGGGGAAAGACAGATGGGGAAAAAAGAGGCCGAAGAACAGAGACTCCAAGAGAGAGTGAAATTTGATTTAAAAGAATGATGGGAGTGTTCAATCAGAGGAGTTACACATAAAAGGAAAGATTACAGAAAAAGAAATTGACAAGCAAATATGCATGACTTATGACATGCATATAGTGACAATGAAACATGGAGCATGTTTCACACATTTCAGAAATGTGAAGAATGTATGTGAAGCAGCCATTTGCTGCCTCTCTCCACTCGACACTGTACAATAGCTTTCAGTTGAACAACTTTACTAAACTTTCGCCTCAACTGTTCTCCATTTTCGCATGATGCTATCAGTAATCCAGCTGATCTGAACAACAAAGCGGATTCTTTCGTAAGCAAGTTCAAAATACTTAGCCATGTTTGTGTTGCATCAGTACAGGAGCACAAAGCTCGAAGTGGGGGGGGGGGGGTGTATGCATGTGAGTGCTGTGCTCTGTCTGCATCATATGTGATCAGTAAAAGGCCTGAAGCATATCCGTGACTCTGTCAAGGCGCAGACACCCACCTTGTCTTCCGTCTGCAAAAACACGGACACCACACTGTTACACACTCCCCTTTATACAACTCTTGTTAGCCACAGTAACAACAACATGCATGTGCACACCCCAATCTGATAACCTCATGGTAAGTTTAAACCACTGTTGCAGCTGCATGCCGGATATGATGCCAAAGCCCCTGGAACAACAAGTGACCGCAAACACTGAGGAGACAAGCAAGACGGAGGGCAGGTCCTGACCACGGCAGACGCAGACACTTTGGAAAGCACATGGAAGGAGCAGATCAAATACACAGCTAAATGCACTTTTCGCGCTTAACTTTTAAACTGACAGCAATACAAAGTTAATGTAATTTTTTAAAGATCTTTAGACACATCTTGGACAAAATACTTAGAAATACTGTACTGGACAAAAAAGTTGCAGCTGAAATACCAAACACTAATATCTCTCGATATATACACGGCTGTACAACCACTAGATTCAGAATCCAGTAAAAAAAAAAAAAAGCGAGAGAGTCAGAATTGTTCAACGTAAATAAAAATTGCAATGAAGCTCTGTTGTAAAGATGAGAGGATCAGAAGTGGACATACAAAAATATAAAAGATACAGGATGGAGATGGGTAGAGAGCACAGGAGCCAATGTGAGGAAGAAGGAAGAGAAAGGTTGTCATAGAGAGGGGGAAGGCAAGGGGACTGAGTTCACCTGGTGAGAGTCCTTCTCAAAACGGCAGGCTGTTAGCTCACGAGCAACGGGCAGCATGACAAAAGCTTGCACACAGCAGGGACAGACTGCTGGGGGAGTTTTACCATGCTCCCTCAGCCTGCGCAATTCAGACATATTTGGCTTCCCACATTTCCCCTGGGTCTTTTGCTAAAATGCCTATCTACAAATACTACTATACTACTGAACTGCAGCGGGATGCTCCTTCTGATCCTTCTCACCTGTCTTTTTCCACAGGCTCCTCTGTGGAACAGTCATTGGTTGTTATAGGCTCAATCGGGCTAAGCCCAGATCCCGACCAAACAGGAAACACGCTGAGTCCTTCTGATGGAGTCGGAAGCTCCAGGCGACTGCTTTGGGCCACTAAAGGAGTATAAAGCAAAAATACAGTTTGTGTAAAGAATTACAGCTGGACCCGTAATCCTGTTTTTCTTGCGAAAAATCTTGTGGGTTTACATTTATAGTTTTAGGATAGGATACTTTAATTCAACATCTATAATTCCTCTAAGTTATGTAACCATAGCCAAAGAGAACCACAAAAAGACTTGTGTTATCAATTTAAGCCAATGTCTAAAATCACTGAGCAGATTTACCATCTGTACTTGGCTCTGGGGTAACGGCAGAGCTGATGTTGTTGCCCGACGCGTCGGTGACCTCCGACCCCGGCAATGAGGCCGAGCCTCCGCTGGAGCCAGGCTTTCTGGAAATGGGGGCGTGGACTGAATAGTCTATGGAGCCTTTGCTAGGTCCAATACCTTTGCGCTCTGCAGGCACTTTGTCCTTATCTACACAGGTGCAGGAGGAGAATGACAACTTAAACACAGACAAAAAAGAAAAATGCAGCAGCAAAATCAAAAACCTCAAACATTCAAATGATTCATAAAAAGAACAGATGTTCTGTGACACAGACAAACAGTTTGAGTGAGTATACTAATCAGGTCCTCATAAGTAGATGAAGGTTAGTTTGGTTCAAGGAAGCATTAAAAAATGTATAAACTGAGCATCCTCTGGATGCCACAACTAATATCTCACAACGTCCTGGAGACACAAAGTCCACTGAACAATGCCCACCCCTATCCTCTCCCAGTTTGATTTCCAACATGCAAACATGCTTATGGTTTGATTAGTAGGGATGTGATCATTCTACAGATGAAAAGGGAGGTGGACTCTGAACAAAGAGTACCTTCAGTGTCCGATTTTGGTTTGATCTCAGCTGTAACAGGAAAGAAGGGCATGACAACATGTTCTCAAGTGCATCAATAAGCAAAGATACAACAAACTGCTGTTTCATGCGTTAATGTGACGCATAGTTAAGATCTAATGGGTATTTTTGATTGAGCATTTTGATATCTTAACAGTAAAAATAGTCTTAACCAAAATGCAACATTGCAAAACAATGTTGTTTTGCGTTGTTGTATTGCACTGCATTGTACTGATGTTTGCAATGTTTAGAAAAGAATGGCAGAAATTTACCATTTCCTCCAATCCAGTTTGGGATGTTATGGAACACCCCCCTGGGCCTCGTCTTTGTAGATTCGTCCTTCTTAGTCTTGATAGGTAACATACAGGTGTTAAGACAGAAGGCGAACATCAATTCAGATCCAACGACAGGGTAATTACACAATACTTCCACACAGAAGTTTAACGAGGGTATTGTACAGCAGTTACTGACCAGTCGCATTACTGATTGATTCTGATCCTCTAATAAGAAAGAAATGTTGTATTTCTGCATTAATGATGGTACTTTACTTTTAACTGTCTCCTGAAGAATCCTCCTCTGGACTTTTTACTGTCTACCGCCCTGGTTTTCACCCCAAGGTGCTTCATGTAGACGGCCACAGCAGAAAAGATGGATTGGCTATGGGGGAAGGAAAGTTATACACTTGTTCATTTAGAGTTGAAAAAAAAATGTTGGTCTATTGTCATTAATAACCACTTTTTAAAAAAATCAATTACGGCAAAACAATACGCATGTTGTGGTTTGACCTTGAGAGATTTTGGAAAAATGGGTAATGCAAAACAGTGAATAATAGAAAAAAGGATAGCTGGACATAGAGATGTCATTGTGAGGAGGAGCACAAAGAGGAGGAGTTTGAAGTTTTGGGATGGGTAGAAAATGTAAGACGAAAGAAGAGTTGTCGAGGTAAAAAGTTTATGAAAAGGGGGCACTGTGGTGATGCACTTACACCACACAGTTTCCTGAAAACAATCGCTACAACACAACGAGCCAAAGTGAAGAAAAAGTAGTATGCTACAACATATGATCACTTCTGTTGGTCAGATATATGTGCAAAAGACATTAGAATCTTAGTGATCTTAGTCAGTCAGAAAGCGGCTCAGAGTCGGGTTTTGAAAAAGACAATGAGCATCTCTACAGGAAGACTCTATGCATGCGGTGCACTGGAAGCAGCGAGCAAGAATCTTGTGGTTGGACCACACCCAGGAGGAGCATGCACATATAAACTACACCATGTGTAAAGAAGCACTTGCTCAAAAAAACACATTTGAAAATATTTCATATGTAATTAAAGAGTGTAACTCACCATTTCTCCTCGTCTGAGACGATCGTTGGTCTGAAAGAAAAAGACGCATGTGTCAGTGATGTCTTTGAAAAGAAGGCACTGGAACGCGTGGCGCAGCATCAGGCTCACCTCTTTCTTTTAAGTAGCATTTTGTCTTTCTCTGTCTCGACTGATACCTAACTCTGTTTTGGGCCGGTGGAATCTAAAAGTCTTTTGATCCAACTCAAAGCTGACTGTTTTGTTGTTGTGTTCAGAGTTTAAGCTACTGATCATATTCTAAAAATTTCAGCAAAAAAGGGAGAAAAAAACAAAAAACAAAAAAAAGAAGATCAAAATGTGGAAATCAAAAGCATCAAAAGCTGCACTTCTGAGTGCTCGAGTAATTTGAAATTAACTTTGACGCTTCAAGACCTGCTGGTAAAATCAAAGTATGCACTCCAAACTGTCTAAAACCATCTGCCTTGGTGTCCTTCTCCTGGAAACTGTTTGCAAAGGGAATTCGGGAATTAGAAATGCTCCAGCACAGCGGAAACGTCTATTTAACCATGTGTTTGTCTGATGCAACACCCAGGCAAGACTGGAGAAATTTGACACTGATGTTTTCAGTTGAATATAAAGAATGGGAGGTGTCTCCCTGGGATTTCCCTGAATAATCCAATCAAATGGCCGAGTTGCCTTGTTTGCCTCAACAGAAAAGCCAATGAGCATCAAATGGGGGCGAGGTCACTGTGTTGTGGTCAAGTGAAAGGGGGTGGGGTGTGGACAGGGTTACTGGGTGCAAGAGTGTGGGAGAAAGTAAGCCTGAGAGGGACAGAAAGAGAAATGAATGGAGTGGGGCTGAAAGAATGAACTGTGCTGGAGATGAGAGATCCAACTGTGTGAGCCAGTCCAAAGATGAATTGTGATGACTGTGGCTCAGACTGCTCTGCAGAGTTTTTGTGTCCTTCCAACTGCAACCGTGGTTACACCAACTGGACGAGAGCCGTGCGTAAAGTGCACCTCCTTTCATTTGCGCTGCTTCTGTCTCCCGACATACTGATGTTAGCCTCCTGCCCTCTCACTGGCCTTCTTTCCCTCACTGTCGGACTTGTTTCTCGTGGAGGATGAAACATCCTAGCTGGAGACAGGGTCACGGATAGATTAACCCTCTCCCAGATCTCGTGCTTTCCTTCTGGAACTGCACCCAGGGCAGAAGCTATCGAGCATGGATAACCCTCAGCCCTCTCGCTCCCGTCTCTCCTCCGCTGCATTACCCCCTCCACCACTCCCATCCTCCAAAGTTGGCAAAATGCCAGCTGAGAGCCTTCCTGCCAGCGTGGCATTGCTGACTCCATATTTTCCTCTCACCCTCCTCATTTCATTTTCTGTTGTGTTTTGTTTCAATCCCATTTCTTTTTTCCAGCTTCAAACAAAGGTACTGTTTCTTCACATTTCCAGTTGCATCTTTCCTTGATGCTTTGAACTGGATACGTACGCAGCTGATACTTTCTATACCTACTTGAAATCTTGTCTAATGAAAATCTAAACAAGATGTAGGATGTTAAGTCATTTATATGCAGAACATGTGCTGATGACCAATGAGAATAACTCACTGTGTCTCTGACATCTTCTCCAGCAGGTTCTCGGCCACAGACTTTTCCTTCATCTCCATCGGAATACGGTCAGTGGGATAGTGATTCTCAACATCAATCAGTTCAGCCTCATTGGGGGTCATACCCATCATTTTCTTTTGCCTGCATAACACAAATGTGACATTTAATCAACAATTAGAGAACATACAGCCATTTTCTATCTATCTGTAAGAGGGAACCTAATGCTGATGTACATAGATGTGGGCCTGCTTAGTGTAACAAGCCGTGAATTCTCACATTTGTCAATGTCAGCTTTGTTTAGCATTTACCTTGACCTAATTTTATACTTTGAACCTCTTCTAAATGATCAGATCAGCTGATAAATATCCCATTAATATGTTCACTGAATCACTTTGAAATGTTAATCTCTCCCATTTGTGCAGATACACTCTGAGCCAGAGAACACATCACACAGGCAGCGCCTCTGCTGCCTCAGTTCAAGCAGACTGTTTGAACTGAACTAATCACATTAAGCTTGCTTTGCTTCCATCACATATATTTGGTTCAGTGTTTCTATTTGTTTTTTTTTGTGCCTGCATAGCCTTTCTTAATGTGTTAAGAGTCAAAGGCCACAGCAGCAGTCCTGACGCAGGATGGTCCTCTTCATTTTCACTCTTTGGACAGTGACACTGAGGTTTTCTGACCTCGCTCACCGTCTGATATTGGACTTTTTTATTCACAATCAAAAATATCAGCATGGCTTTTCTCATTGGTGTATATCGGGTTTTATTTTGGATTAAATTATTTTAATCGATAAAAATTAACTAAACAATCTGATCCATATTGAATGAGAATTCTCCTTCAATTGTAGAATATAATAGGGCAACAATGCCTACAGGTTGTTCTTAAAGTGTCTGGAGACCTCTGCTGATTGATGAAGGAGAGAGATGTCAAGCTGTGAGACTGAACAGGTGAGATGTTGCAACAACAATAAGGGGCAGGTGCCCTGGAAGAAGAGCTGGGAAAAAAAAACAAAAAACAAAAGAACTTAAACTGAAAATGAGGGAACTATCTGGATCTGCCATATGAGAATAAAAAATTTCTAGCAGCTCCTTTGCCTTTTGTGGCAAAGACTCAAGTAAATAGTCAGTTCTGATTAGTAGCAGAGCAAACTTCTTTTGGATATCTGCTTGCTATATAAAAAAACATACAAACAAAAAAATGATCTTTCTCTGTGGGCATAATTTCTATAACGCTAACAGACTTTTTTTTTCTAAAGAATGTGACTATCAGGGAAAAATCACTTTTATTTGGCCACAACAGTCTTCAACCAGCTGTCAGGTAATGTTCTCTCTCAATATTCATCTCAATACAAATATTTAGTTACTGCCAAAATAAAATCTCCTCCTCACCTTTCTCAAGTAATTCAGATTCTGGCTTGCATCCAGAGAAAAGCAGCAAGCGGTTTGTTACATCACATTTCATAATGATTCATCAACAAGATGTGTTGATCCTAATAAGAATTTGAGGCACTGCAATGATTGCATTTCACTGAAATTCACGTTCCAACCTTTAATCACATAAACCTAAATGGATCTGCCATTATTTTTATGCTGATATATTGCGGGTGTAGACTCTGAGCAGGACTCCGAAATGTACGAGAATTACCTGAAATCCTCCAGCTGTTTGGCAACTTCAGGAACCTGCAGGCTCTGAATATCCTGAGCAAAACGCTTTTGGGTGTCATCGGAGAGCAGATCTGGACGGGTTCGGTCTTAAAACACAAAGAGAGGAGAGAGGAGTGTGACTTCCTAAAAATAAAATGGAACAGACTGGACTGGATTTAAGTTTGACAGAGTAAATGTCATATAAGTCACGACCTTCAGTATAAAGAGTACTGCAAATGAACTTACCTAATTCATAAGTTATATAAGATGGCGTTGTCACTCTGAGGATCTGAAATGTAATGCAAACAGATACTGAGAAATACAGTTTTTACATAAATGAAGTCTTCATTTGATTTAATAAAGTATAAACAAAAAGTAATATTTCCAAGCTTCGCAGTAACCAAACATGTCCACTAGAGGGCAATTTAATACTAGAAATAGATATTTTTTATTTTATTTTTTTAGATGACGAAGGAGGTATTTCAAATAAAAGGTATAAATCCCTGTCACTGACATGAAAATAACCACACAGACCAACTTGCTGTCAGCAAGTTCACCAGAATATCTTTTTTTTTGAGACGTTGACAGAGGTCGGTTCCTCCTGTGGGGCTTTCCCACGATCCCTACAGGAAGCAGCGGGGCTGAGAGACAGACGGAGAAGCAGCTGAGCTGACGGACTCTTACAGTGCCAGAGCTCAGAGGAAGACACACAACGGAGAAGGGACAAAGGCCAGGTGTGCAGGGGGGAGTGATGGGAGAAAACACGCAGATACTCAGGAGTGACAGACAACAGGCAGAGCAAACTGAGCAATTGCAAACAAACCCGTGTCGATTCTGTGTGATCGTCTTTCATCAGCGCAGCTTATAAAGTGCAGCTGGGCGGCACAGAGTGCACAACAGAAACTTATGACCACCTGAGCATTCATGGTTAAATGACAAATCAGGGTTCTATGTCTGAAATGGGCAGCAGGGGTCTGTGCTCCATTGTAAAGGCAAAGGTTTAGGTTTACTGTTCTGCTGTTAAAAATATGTCTCCATCAACAACATAACACAGAAACAATGGTTTAACGTTTATTAACAAATATTAAACATTTCTTTAATTTATTTTTTTATCTCCACTTGACTTGATCACAATTGACTTAACTGCACTGGGCATGTTTTCACTTTTATCTCATAGAAAAACGTTGCCGCTTTGTGCTCTGAAGTGTCTCAGTTTCTCAACAGCTGGAATTGCTAGACAGTATTTTGGTTGACAGATTTTATTTTCGTTAAAGATTGAAGCGTTAATGCAGCCCATATAATTACACTCCCTCTTCTATATTTTGAATGTTTTTTAATTCAGTTTCACGCTGAACTCATGTGATAATCTGATAATTTTTCCTCTTCTTCATAGTGTTGTACATCACACAATGTTCTCTGCTCCGTCTAAGCCGTCACAAACACATATTTCCATCTATAACATCCATGCTAAGTGTGAAGTAAGCATGAAACTTAGATTGTGTGAGCAGGGCAGTAGCTGCAGTGACTGATCATAGCTGCTCATCCTGTGCCTCCTAGCTATTACTGCAACTGTATTCCACCTATTCTAATTCCTCTGTGAAATTATTCCCATTTTGAGAAAAAAAAGACAGAAAAAGTAAGTTTCTTAGAAACAGAGGAAGATCTGGTAAATATAGAGGTTGGACTTCTACTTACAGCCCCCTTGTCCAAGAAGTTGTTGTAGAACTCCACAAACTGCTTCTTGGTCTCTTTGGCACTGAGGCTCTTAAAGAGGTCAGCATGGAGGTAACACAGCTGAGGGGAGACAAAGACAGAGACATTAGTGAACTATGGCCCAGTTCACATTTCTTCAGTAAAGCTTTGCAAAGCTCGGACCAAGCACAATCATCACAGAATCCGATGTGATGCTAAATATTGCCATTCTTATGGATAGCTCTCTTAGTTTCTACCGACTTCTGAAAATGCTACACCATTAATGGATATTCGTATATTGAAAAAAAAATTAAAAATCAATCCCTCACTGTTGATACCTGCGAGGTAAGAGGAGAGAGCCAGAGAGAAACAGTGTCAGGGCTGTAAAAGGTGCAACAGTACCTGTTTGAGTCAGAGTGTCTGCATGAAAAAGGAAGGGGAAAGGACATGCATGCTTTATACGGACACTGACACACAGAAATATTACTTTCAACCCTCATTATGTCACACACGGGTCATCGATGATTTCCGAAAACAAAATAATCATTTAAATCATGGCCGCCTCATTTTTTTTGTACCCAATATTTGAGACACTTTTTTTTTTTAAATCACTGGTATTAGTTCGGCCTTGTCCACAGCATCACGGGGAGATGCCAGCAGGAGAGCGTCTGAGACCTCTAAATATTAAAATCCACACCAATTTGATACATTGAACCAGCGTGGCTGAACTTCCACACGCATATGTGATAAGGATTCCACTAATGATTAGCGCTAGTATGAAATGAAAGAGGCAGCCTACTAAAATAGGTAGAATAAATCAGGGCTTGCAAAGACTCAAACGAGTGCACCACAAAGAAAAGCAGAGCTAAAACCCATCCCGTGCAGTCAGTGGTGCATCCTCTGAGCTCTAGTTCTCACCAGGGGAGCGGGGTCAAACTGTAGAATGACATGTTGAATGAAGACCAGCAGGTGAGTGGGATGATCCTTCAGCACGTCTATGCTGTTGAAGTGAGGAGAAAGGTCATCCATCACCTGCAAAGGAGGAGGAGAGCACTTAGATCCGAGGAAACTGAGACACACTGAAAGATGACCTTAAGTTGGGAGGCGGTGCTGATGCTTGCGTCAGCACGCCACTTACTTCATTCAGATCATTCTCGAAATCCTCATCCTCAGCCCCGATGATGCTCATGGCTGGGTTAGAGCACTGAGCTCCAAGGAGACCCTGCTTACAGCAAACAGGGGGGGGGGGACACAATTAGCAATTATCAAGTACAACAGTTTGAACTGGTTGGCCACCTCTTCAACTTCCACAGTCCCAGCTGAGCAGAGCCAGACATAAAAGTCAGATTAGAGCATGGACATGCTGAACTTTCCCACATCACACAGAGAAAACGGTCCAAGCTTCCAAACCAACCTCCAGGAAGTCAAATTAAACAATGATAAGGGTATCCTTTTAATTATTACTTTCTAAAACCAGCATTTGAAACAGAATTTTTACAAACTTCTGTCTCAGTAAATTAAAAGCTACAGGGAACAGATACTCTTAAACTTAAATTTTTAAGACTGACTCAGGAAAATTAGTCCGGGTTAGCAAAATAGCCTTTTAGTTGAGATGCCATCGTCCGCTCAGCAGAGAGCTCACCTCCAGATATAAAGACACAAACAAATTCATTCAAATTGAAAGGTCACAGTCATTTCTTGCTTCTCAAAGCCATGAATTGCACCAGAGCATGTGAAGATTTTACCTCCACCCTTTACACCCTAGACCACTTCCTCTTTTTCCCAAAAAACACACAAACAACACACAGCGTTTGTATTCAGCTCTCAAAAGGCCGCAGACCCAGAGCCGCCACCAAGCGACACCCAATACACACACAAACACACATCAAAAACGCTACACTGTACAATGCTGGGTCAGCAGAGAGGGCAGAGTGGAAGAAGTTCAGCACAGGGTCGAAGAGAAGAGGACGGGAACATCTAAAAATCCCAGGGGGGGAAGAGACATCAGAGGCTGTTTGTAAGGATCAAGTTGAAGGTTTCATGACATGAGATTCAGTTCAATTCTCTGCTCCAACTTCAAACAGGCAGCTTGAAAACATGAATTTGGTTTCAATCACAGAACTTTTTGCCTTCTTGCTGAATAAGGCTGGACAACAATTACAAAAAAATTAGCTGAAAATTTTTAACTGTTGCCCCCGACAACACAGAACCAGAGGGGCTCGGGTCACTTTTGGTCAGTTTAACTGCTCGGTTGGGGTCAACTCCCTCTTCTAAAATAAGTGTTGAAACACTTTTCAATTCCTGTGGATGTGATGAAATCAGTTCACTTTGCAGTCGCTTTATAATGGTCGTTTCAGCACAAACCTCTTTGTGCTTAGTGTACATTTTGTTTAGCTTTACGGTTCTTTGAAGTGGTTTCCTTACTCTGAAGTGCATTCTGAAGAAAAAAAAGTGTTCTACATGAGGAGGTTTTTAGAGTTCATCCTCTTATCATCATTATTACAAAGTGGTAGGATGACCTGACATAAGAGAGAGACATAAATCAATCAATGACGTGGAAAAAAAGAAAAAAGTACGAAAAGTAAGGTGTAGTAATGCTAAAAATGAAAAATATGCTCATTTTAAAGATGTAAACAGGACAGTACTGTCTTATTATCAGTTGATACCGTGAATCAACAGAGATTTCTGTAAGCATGGAACAGGGCCTTACACTAACACTAAATCACACTGACCTTTGTGCCCTTAGGCAACACTGTTATAAACACACACCCAATCCTCCAAATCTGTGCATGGTCTTAGGAGCGTCGCTGAAAATCAAATGCAAATTTCCGACGTATTTGCAGGGAAAATCTTTATCAGTTGAGCAAGACACTGTCAGGCAACGTTCGGGGATACGCCAAACACTTGTGGAATTCCCAAACAGATCAGCCAGGGAAAAACAGTGCATGATGTCTTTATTCGACACCGCACAAACTTTAGGAAAATAATCCTTAAACTATTCAAAGTGCAGTTATAGTGGCTAATTAAGAAAGAACTGAAATATCTCTTAGCAGTTACTTTGAATGGAAATGCGAGCGTACACAGCAGCTGGATTTGATCCACTGCTTGCACGCGGTGTTTGTGTACACTGGTGGCAGTCTGACGAATGTTTCTGAGGTCAAGGTGAGGTCTTGTACATGAGCAGAGTGAAACGGAATTGGTGAGGTGGCAGACAGAGAGCGAAACTGGGAAACAGACAGACGGAGGGAGAGAGAATGTGTTCATTCATAGGCCCATCTAGCAGGCTGTGGGTTGAGAAAGGCCAGTGTTGGAGCAACATGCGTGGGAGGGGTTATTTAAACAGAGGCGCAGGCCTGTCAGCGCCAGGGGTGCACATCTGCATAGACATACACTAACAACCATGAGTCCCTTTTCACACACGCACGCTCACCAACACTTCACCAAAACGAACGCCCCACACATACACACAAAAACTCCTCCGCTGCCATGGCAACATGAACTGCAGCAAAGGACAGGTGTAGTAGTTTCCTGGTGGAAAGACAAAACTCCTCTCTTCATGGCTCAAGTAAAGTTTGAAAGACAGATGCATAAAAAATAGTAAAAATTACTGTGCGAGCCTCATTTTAAATTTAGATGTGTGACACTCGCCGTTCATCACACACACTCAAGTAACACCAGTCAGTCCAATCTAAATATACATATCCAGATCAATACACAATCAAGAAGAGTTGCCAACTAGTTTTAGGGACTTTCAGACTCTTTGTAAATTCCAATAAAGCAGCCACTTAAAACTTAAAGTTTTAAGTGAATTTTAATTACGTTCAGCATTGGATCGTTTCACTCTACTTCTCACACACACACACACAAAGGGAGACTCCATGGATGCATAACTGTATGGAGCCTGAGTAGAGCAGCAACTCGGTTCACCAGATAGTGGTGACAGCTGGCTCCTCCATCACTATCTGCTCAATCAGATTGTGCAATCTGCAATCTGAATTGTTTCTGTGACAACATGAGCATCAACAAAAAGAACATTGTGTATCGCCACATGCTGACAATCCATCTATGAGAATATCTGAATCCAAGTTCTTGCTCCTTGGTTAATACTTAGCTGGCTATTTGTCCCCTCATCCACCAAATCAATAAATCAGCCACGAGGCACATCTGAGGCCCGGCTGAACATGAGCCTCTTTTTAATTTCTTTAAATGAATATATTGCTCATGGCTGCCATTGACAACTATGCATTTTTTATTCTTTTTTTTCTTTAACCTCCACAGTTTTCAGCCTCATATTACATACATCCTGCCCTGAATGTAGAAAACGTCTTTGTGGTGCATTCAAGTGCTTCTTTGTTTTCTGAGACAATGGCAACGTTCAGCTAAGAATAATTCATGCCAGCACCTTCCCTGCTCAATTTTTTTTCCTCCGGCTGGATAACTCTGGATTTTCGTATGTCGAAATTTGAGGCTCATTTTGCCGCCAGGTGCGACCAAATTCCAGGTATTGCTGTCAAATCATTCAATTAACAAAAACTAAAGCAATTCTCCAATTTTTACGTCCTTGTCTGGTTGGAATGTTTGGAATTTGAGCCATGAAATGGGTGAAATGGGTCATAATTTCTGCAAATGGCTCATTGATCAAATGACTAAGCACTGACTGGATGAATCCGAGCCCTCGGTTCACGTTAAGCTCCAGTTCAAATGGAAAAGCAGACCATGCTTTGGCAACCTTGAGGAGAGCTGACTGCTGCCTTTCCCTGCATGTTTCAGCAATTCAGGCCCCTCATTACAGGAGTTCCTAAAGCCAGTCTTTTATTATTGTTATGTCTTGGTAGGTTTCAGAGTAATTGTAGTACACCTTCCTGCTCTAGGACACAAATTGGGATAGGCAGGGGGAAGCTGAATGCGGTCACTCGGAGGAACGTTGGGAGGTCAGTTCCCATCAAGCTGTAAGGAGCACGGGGCTGCAGAGGGGCAGGAGTGGGAGGCTGCTTTAACCAGAGGGAGCCAAGTGGTGCATTCCAGCATATGGCACAGTTCAGGCAACAGATGGAGTCAGTCTGAGCTTCAGCTGTAAGCAGACCCCCCCCCTCACCACTATACATGAGAGTTGGCACGAGCTCCACAATGCGGGGTCCTGTCCTGACTCATGCAGCAGTGGCCGTGGGGATGCGATGGACCCGAGCTCATACGGGATCTGACCAGCGTCTGGGAAGTGTACAGATCAGCCACGGTGCTCCAGAGAGTCGGCAGCTGCCCTGTACCCCTCCCTCCATCACATTCCAGTACTAACTAAGTGTCAGGTGGCATCAATCTAATGATAGCCATCAAGCGTACGTGCCTTTGTGTGTGTGTGCGAGTCAAGACTGCGCACAGATACTGGAGGGGGCCATTCCTGATGGAGGAAGCCATCAGTGTACTTGTGGGCATGTGTACCCTGTGGCAACTGCTACATACAAGAGAACTCCTCTCAGTCCAAAACCATAGAGGAGCAAATTAAAAAAAAAAAAATTAAAAGCTTTATTATTTGGCAAAAGCAGCATCCCAGTTTGGCAGTTCATTTTTCCACCAGGTGACCAAAGGCTAACAACAGTGCAGTCAGTTCCATCAGCTCTGTAAACCCCACAACAATGAGCCATTGAAGTGAAAGCCCTCTGACCAGGAAAAGAGGAGGAGCCAAACTGTGACCTCACCCCATCCTGGGGATCTTCAGCGTCCATAGTGAGCCCGTCAATCACGCTGCAATCACATGACAGCGGCCGTCAAAAGGCGGTCAGTTCAGATTCATGCTGTTCGACCAAATGCACAGATCAACAATACATGAGTTCCCACAAAAAGCGAGACGTGAGAAAAAGTTGAAAACTGAAACAGGTGGTAAAGAAAAATCTTCTAAGTATGAAATATAATCCACAATATACACACACACAATGAACACACAATGATGAATCTAAAAAAAAGTGTCTCACCTGGAGCTAATTGCCTCTTTGGGAGAGGACACACATTACTTTCAAAGAGGCCTGTCAGAATAAAAATGTGTTTTATCAGGTGGGGAAAAAAAGGAAGAAAGAAAGAAAGAATAGACCTCTGCTAAAATGCTGACTGATGCTCACTGCTTTGACAAACCTGTCTTTTTATCTGATGATGAATGTTTACCTGCATCATCTATTTCACTGTTTGTGTTGTTTGGTTGGAACCGGATCAGCTTTTCACGTGGAGGCTACA